TTAAACCTCCCGTGGCCAAAACAGTACATGCATTAGTGGTCTTGCACTAATTGGACATAAAAGGGACGCAGGTGGCGCTGTGGGTTAAACCACAGAGCCTAGAACTTGCCGATCAGAAGGTCGGCAGTTCGAATCCCTGCGACGGGGTGAGCTCCCGTTGCTCGGTCCCTGCTCCTGCCAACCTAGCAGTTCGAAAGCATGTCAAAGTGCAAGTAGATAAATAGGTACCACGCCAGCGGGAAGGTAAACGGCGTTTCCGTGCACTGCTCTGGTTCGCCAGAAGCGGCTTAGTCATGCTGGCCACATGACCCGGAAGCTGTACACCGGCTCCCTCGGCCAATAAAGCAAGATGAGCGCCCCAACCCCAGAGTCGGCCATGACTGGACCTAATGGTCAGGGGTCCCTTTACCTTTACCTTTACCCATTGGACATGCACAAAATGGTCTCCGCCTGTATGCATAAAATACACACGTTAACTAAAGTAACATACAAATGTTCATCATGTTAGAAGAAATTGCAAAAATTGTGCATATTAGGCAAAATTGCAAATAAAAATGGCTGGATGAGAAGAAATGCACACTAAAATACTGCTGAACTTTTATAAGGACACACACACACACATTTATGAAACTGATCTGGAAATGTGGAGAACTGAATTTAAGACTGAAAAAAATAGAAACAGAAAAATCACATTTGACAGATTCCTTTATCCCTAGTATTTATTCCCCAAAGCAGATTGCATGCTCATAGGCTCTCCTAGCCTCCATTACCCATCAAATAATCTTAGCTTAATGGGGTCTCTACCAGGCATATCTACCAAACCAGGGATATCTACAATAGCGAACTAGTCTTCCCTGGAACCTTTCAGAGAGGAAAGTGCTTCTGAACATACATAGGGTGCATTTTGCTCACAGCTGAAACACCAAGCCAAGTGGCCCCAACCCCACTATTTTATAGAGATCATAGCTACAAAATGCACAATGGTTTTGCTATCCTACACTTACAGTGTGTAGAGTAATCCACTCTTTTACCATAATTTAATTATTTCAACAAAAGTTGAAAAAGCAGAGAAATCACACAGGTAAAGATTACACATCTGAAGCACAGCAAAAAGGCTCAGGAAGAGCAAAACTCAGCAAAATCTTTAAGCGGTTTTTTAAAACCTATTTATTTTAAGCTGCTTTTCCTAATTTAGACCTTTATTTGATGAGCCTAAATTAGAGAGCTGTTTTAGAATGTATAGCTCTCTTTTTTAGCAGCTGGGATCTATACTGCTGTTTTATTTATTTTTAACTGGCCTTTCTTTTTTAAATAATTGTGTGCTGCTGTTATTTAAGTTGTCTAGATTTGTTTTGAATTGCATTGTGTTTTCAGGATACGCAAACTGCCTAGTGTAGATTGCACCAAACACTGTGGCCTATAAATGTAAATAAATAAATAGAAAGAATACAATACTTTTGACAGGGAAATGATGAAAACAAAATTTACATGCACTAAAGCTATAAAACTGTTATTACACTGAGGCCAGAAAAGCAAATTATGATCATAAGACTATCCCATTAATTCTAGTAGGTCTTACCACCAGGTAATAGCGCTCTGAGAATCCTACTTTGGAAATGTTTGGGTACCAATATCCCTAGCAGCACCAAGGAAAGGTTTCAGGAATGGCCTCAAAAGGTCATAGATGTGGGACTGTTTGCTCTTCCTGCTCAGTTTCTTTTTGCACTCGCTCAGTCTATCCTATACTGAACGCACACCCTGAAACTTTCCCACATTTTATTGGATGCTATGACTCGGGTGGCGCTGTGGGTAAAAGCCTCAGCACCTAGGGCTTGCCGATCGAAAGGTCGGCGGTTCAAATCCCCGTGGCGGGGTGCGCTCCCGTTGTTCGGTCCCAGCGCCTGCCAACCTAGCAGTTCGAAAGCACTCCCGGGTGCAAGTAGATAAATAGGGACCGCTTACTAGCGGGAAGGTAAACGGCGTTTCCGTGTGCGGCTCTGGCTCACCAGAACAGCGATGTCACGCTGGCCACGTGACCCGGAAGTGTCTCCGGACAGCGCTGGCCCCCGGCCTATAGAGTGAGATGGGCGCACAACCATAGAGTCTGTCAAGACTGGCCCGTACGGGCACGGGTACCTTTACCTTTACCTTATGACTGGACAAGGCTAGGCAATATCATCTTTCAACCACCAGCCAAACGTCGCGGTCTGGCGATATACCGCGATGTTGAAAAAACAAGCTTCAGCCTGCGAGGCACCGGGTGAAATTGCCGCATCTCTCACCATGGGAGCTGAGGCAGTTTCACCCCAGCGCCTAGTAGGCTGGGACAATGCAGCTTGTTTGTACAGCTCAGCTGGGGCGTGAGAGGACTCCCCATCCCTGGCAGAGCTGGGGGATCCTTTAACTGCTGGGGGATCCTTTAACTGCTCAGCTGATGGGAGCAGCAACCACACAGTCCTCAGTCAAGCAGTTTAAAGATGCAGAGGGAGGAACAAGCTATATCGGTGTCTCGTTGATGCAGCTTTTTCCTCCCTCTACGCAGTATGATGGCAGAGTGGGATATATCACTGGTGAAACTGCCACCACTCCTGAGTCCCTCTGCTAAGCAACGGTCGCTGGAGGAAGTCACTAGCAGAGGGACTCAGGAGCAGTGGCGGTTTCACCAGCGCTATACCACTGAGTGAAGCTGACATCACAGTCTGCTCCTCATACTGGTCGCGGGTTATATATAGATATATCAGGCTGGGCCTTGACTGGACACCTTTACTCCATCCTAAACAAAGGAGCTTTTTTCTATAAGTGAGTGCAACAGTCGCTGTTTTAGGTGACTTTTCCCCATTGATGTGGTAGTCATGCCTGTACCATTCTGTGGCCTTGTCTTTTATTGCTCTTTTAGATGTGGCAGCCATCTTTGTTAAATCCCCACCTCCCGGCAGCCATTTTATGACTGGCATCCATAGCACTTTCTCAAAAATTCAATTTGCCCACTGGCCCAAAAGGGTTGGCTATCCCCAGCCTATGGGAAGCCCAAAATCAAGGCATGAAGTCAGTATCTCCCTTGACCTTTTCCATAAAATACAGTGGTACTTCGGGTTAAGAACTTAATTTGTTCTGGGGGTCCATTCTTAACCTGAAACTGTTCTTAACCTGAGGTACCACTTTAGCTAATGGGGCCTCCTGCTGCTGCCGTGTCGCCACAGTGCAATTTCTGTTCTCATCCTGAAGCAAAGTTCTTAACCCGAGGTACTATTTCTGGGTTAACGGAGTCTGTAACCTGAAGCGTCTGTAACCCGATGTACCACTGTAGACGTAACAGGGTTGTTTTTTTCAGCCCGGAACTCACTGGAACTCAGTTCCGGCACATCTCACATGGGTGCCATTGCCATTATAAGAGAACAAGGGAGGCATTTGTGGTGAGTTCTGGCACCTCTTTTTCTAAAAAAATAGCACTGGACATAAATATTATGAAGTATGAGTAGCACCATTGCTTGCATGTTTCCAGCATATTTCCATTCAAAAGATATGCAGGGCCCAATATGGACCTGATCACTGCTTGCGTGCATTTTAAAACAAAATGCAATGGAAGATGCATGCATGTGTCCTTCATATCTGACAGGACGTGTGAGTAAATGTCATTAATCCTTCAAAAGATGGGTACAGGTCTTATGGCACAAAATCATAAAATGTATCAATGCATTAGCTCACAGTGGCTGTTCTGCTCTCCTCTGCGATCAACCAACGAGCAACCGTTATTCCAGATGTGAGGAACCACTGACCTTCCAGATGTTGTTGGACTACAACATCAGGGACACTGGTCAGGCGTGATAGAGGTTGTAGTCCAACAACATCTGGAGGGTCACATATTCCCTACCCATGAATTTACCGTATTTTTTGCACCATAACACTCACTTTTTTCCTCCTAGAAAGTAAGGGGAAATGTCTGTGCGTGTTATGGAGGGAATGCCTACAGGTGGCATGCCTACGGATTTTCCTCCTCTAAAAACTATGTGCGTGTTATGATCGGGTGCGTGTTATAGAGCGAAAAATACGGTATTCACTAAAGCACTGTATATGGCTTTAAATACCACAGCAATCGCACAAGGCTCTTTCCGCAGGAATCAAAATCATTCAGGAGCAGTGAGGAAGCTCATGCTTATCAGACAAATTTCTTCCAAATCAAATGATTCAACCAGTTGCAGACATTTGTCTCAATGCCGCCAGAGCAAATGACACATAACAATTCTGCCCCACGCAGCATGCAACAGGGATCGGAATATCTATGTACACTTCAGTCGCAAAACAGAGCCTCAAGTGTGCTTGGGCTTATTCCAAAATAATCCAAATGCTGCTTTTTTAGCAAATGGGGGTCAATGAAGCTCAAAACTCAGACAAGGATTTGAGCATTCATGTGTTTATATACACCCACTCATTCATTTATTATTCTAAAGCTACTTTACCCAAATCGAATTACATAGCTGACAAGCTGCATAGATAAGAAAAATGCAGACGAAATCTAAACTCGGCTGACAATGCTGCATGATATAGTACATTATATCATTTGGCATTTTTCAAATGAGTGGAGGAGGTTGCATTGGAGTGGATGGGACAGGAAAGATGAGCCTGCACGTACCTAAACTGTACCTTTAACAGGAACATAAAGGAATGTATTCAATATACAGTGGTACCTCGGGTTAAGAACTTAATTCGTTCTGGAGGTCTGTTCTTAACCTGAAACTGTTCTTAACCTGAGCACCACTTTATCTAATGGGGCCTCCTGCTGCCGCTGCACCGCCGGCGTGCGATTTCTGTTCTCATCCTGAAGCAAAGTACTTAAGCCGAGGTAATATTTCTGGGTTAGTGGAGTCTGTAACCTGAAGCATCTGTAACCTGAGGTACCACTGTACGTATATGTAGCCCAAAGGAGAAATCACTGTATGTTTTCTTTTCTAAATGCTCAACCATCAAAGCAAAAGAGAGCATATTGAAGGAACTTTGCTTACTGTGTGTACACTTTGGTCAAAACAGATCTCCACATCATAGAAGTTCCCATGGTGTCTGACGGGCAGTGTGGTTCCAGCCCACTGCTGACCCTCTGCCTTAGACCAGTCAAGCACTTTACCACCAAGCTGTCCGCGGAGGGAAACCTTGAGAACGTAGCTGCCTTGTGGCACTTTGTCTTTAACACCACGTAAGCATTTCAGCTGGATCTGAATGGGCTGAGGTTTTTGAGACCAGTCAATCTAATGGAAGAATAGATGGGTGTTAGCGGGGAGAAAATAGAAGAGGAACACACTTGGCTTGCAATAGTAAGAGCACGTAATCAAAAGCGATTGGTTCCAGTCAAGGCCGTGCCTGCTCTTCCCATGGCCTTACCAGGTTTTATATGAGCAATAAGCTGCACATGCTTATGAATGCCCTTCAGAGGGTTTCAAATGCATGTGCCCAGTGCATGTAGGGATGTCGAAGACTTGTGTGTGCAAGCTCAAGCCCTCCCCACTTTAAGCCACCACATCTTCTTCTGAGCGTTTGAGCAGTCAGCAAACTCTGCCTTCACATGTAAGGAATTCTAGATGATTTGTTGTATCTCCTTGTTCACCGCTTTGGACCATTCATACACCGTGGTGTTTTTCTGTAGGACTACAAATTCCATCTCCTAAAAGGAAACGATGTTGACCTGTCTCTTACACAATCATTTCACTGATCCTGAAATTAAAGAGTTGGGTCAAGAGGCACCTTAATCTTGCAGGGGATTTGCATGTTGATTATGGTCCGGGGTTTGTGTTATGGGGTCAGGTTTGTACGCCACTGTGCCACCCCTCCCTGATAACATGCAGTTGGGGGGAGGGTGAAATGATATCATCACATCTGCATTTCTCGGCTACCCACAAGCAATGGGCAACAGCACCCTTTTCGTGACATGAGGGCATACTGCTGGCTGCTTTTCACAATTTGTTCTACAGCTATGATGGCTAGAAGTGGGGGGGGGGGAGTTTCAAGAAAGCCCTGTGGTCACATTGAATTTCTCACACACTGCATTCCCTTTGAATAGGCAGCAGGCAGGTGTGCCTCCAGAAGGTTCCCTGCAACCTGCTGCATGCCTTCAGGCCGGAAATTCAAGAAGAGGAAGGGGAGGGCCTGGGCCAATCCAGAACCCATTGGATCCTGAGCTGGCCTAATGCCATCACATGGTGGCAACCAAGTACAATGGCAGGTGCAGCAATCTGCCTTCTGCACATGAACTCTCCTGACCAGGAGGCTCAGTGAGGCTATGGATGTGGCAGTGTCCCCACTATTAAGTTCACTGGGTAGCAGCTGGGGTTAGGACTGCACCACAAATCACCACAGTAGTGATGTGGAGCGTTTCCTTGCACATTTCAAGGAGAGACCATGAGAGAAGGTGCCTCACAGTACGCAGCATATTATTTTAATATGCTTCGCTTGCCAAAGTGTTTCAAAGCCTCATGATCCAAGCCCACAGTGACCAATAATCTCCCTCCTTTTTTTTTTTAATCCGACCTTGGATTTATATTGGAAGAGACAACATATTTCCATATAGATAGAAAGCTTGTGGAGTTTAAATTAAGCAGTTAAATAAACACTTGAAGCAGTTAAACCTCTTCTGGGTTTTTTGTTTTGTTTTTCTAAACACAAACCGTACTTAACAAACTAATCTGAATGACAATTATTTTCATTTAAATGAGAAAAAAAATTAATTAACAATGGAGATTTAACCTTAATATTTTTACTATATATATATAAATATATAGACACACATGAGAAAAATTAACATCATGTGAATGAAGAAATAAGACAATCTTTCTAAAACCTCAAGGCAGGATTACTGATGCAGGCAGTCTGAGTTATTAAACACATTCTAAATTAAACGCCTCTATGAATTTTATACTGAAATATATTTTGATAGTTTTGCATGCCAAATGTGACATTTTATATTTCAGATTCATCTTCTGTAGTAATTTTGGAAATGTCATACAAACAAAGATTTTGTCATTTACCAATGGAATTACTATGCATGGCCAGTTAGCCTCCTCTCTTTCTGGCTCTCCTAGTTGTTTCAAGTCAGCAAGCCATAAAAAATCTTTATCTCTCTGAAACACAGCAATTTGGAAGATAATCGAATAGTGACTGGGGGGCAAAAACGCCAGTCTGAGGAATTATACCACAATCTCTCTTGCATTTACAACCTTCCCTCAAAGCGAGTGTCAGTTGAGTAGGAAAAGGAGATAGGAGATTCATCATATCTCAAGCTTGTCTCATTTACATGGTGGCAACGCCGCCTTCCCTCATCTCCCCCAGAAAGACTTTGCTTGGCCAGTGCCGAGGAAGTGTTTTGAAGAACTCCAGCCTTGCCCAAATGATTCATCGTTAATGCTTTTAGACATTCCATTTAAGCATACAGTTGCATCTGCTGGGATGCATACGTTTAAGCCTGATGAAAAACTAATACGTTTATTTTTTTAAAATGGGAAGGGAAGGGATTTCATACGAGGGAGTCAATAAATTGATCTAGTCAGTTTGCAATTTACATTAGGAAAAGAGTACACACACACACACACACAACACACACACACACACACACACACACACACACGACTCACCTCCCAGCAAAGACCTGCTGCTCCATTAGATCCATTATTCAGTCCTGCAAGGTTACTAGACTTGGCTGCAGTCCCTTCATACGGTGCTGCTTTCAACGCCCGACTTTCTTCCATGCTTCAGCGGCAAAGGGAAAGTGAGGGTAGGAAATTTAATAAAATGCATAAATTAAAGAAAGTGTTGACCCTTGAAACCTACATGCATTTTAATGCATTCCTTAAATATGTTAGAATGCAGCAGTGAAGGGAGTATTGCTGCTCAGGGCAGATGGATACTTAGCTTTTGACAAGTGGAGAAGGAATAAAATGGGATAACTTTGCTAATGACACAACTTCCATTTGTCAGTCTAGACTGGTGCCAAAAACACAATGGGCCACAATCCAGCAAGCACTTTAAGCATATATTTACTGGCCCATGGCCATGAGGTTTCGCTCATAGGACCCAGGGAGCCAAAACAGGCTTGTACACCAGACAGAGCAGGAAATTGGTGCTGGAGCGACAGCAGAGCATGGACAGAGAAACCACCAGTGAACTGGTGCTATGGCAACATCACAACTTGGAAAGAGAAGCCACCAGTGAACTGGTGCTGGAACAACAGCACAGCATGAATGGAGATACCACCCACATGTGCGTAGAAACAGGCCAACTATCTTCACGGCCAAACTAGAGTGTGACCATCCACTTCCATTGAGAAGAAGTAGCTTCAGACTATGAAGCACTTCTTCTCACGTTATAGATACTTGATGTATGGTGGTGGTGGAGGAGGGGGCTTAGAGGAGGAGGTTAAGAATATTTGAAAGGATTCTGAAATGAACCCTCCGTGTTCTGGAGCTGTTTACCTCTGGATATCAGTCACTAAGATCAAACAAGAGGGGTGTGCGATGTAATCCTCTGGAGCAGTCAAGTACAACTTTTCCTGTTTGCCTAGAGTGAACATGCATGGGGAATGTTGGTCCATCCAGTTGAACTTCCTGTTACACCTGGCTGGAGCACCCTTCCTTTTGCATGTGACTAGTAGGTGGGTAGGGACGCGGGTGGCGCTGTGGGTAAAACTTCAGCGCCTAGGACTTGCCGATCGTATGGTCGGCGGTTCGAATCCCCACGGCGGGGTGAGCTCCCGTCTTTCGGTCCCAGCTCCTGCCCACCTAGCAGTTTGAAAGCACCCCTAAGTACAAGTAGATGAATAGGTACCGCTTTATAGCGGGAAGGTAAACGGTGTTTCCGTGTGCTGCGCTGGTGCTGGCTCACCAGAGCAGTTTCGTCACGCTGGCCACGTGACCCAGAAGTGTCTTCGGACACCGCTGGCTCCCGGCCTCTTAAGCGAGATGAGCACGCAACCCCAGAGTCAGTCACGACTGGCCCGTACGGGCAGGGGTACCTTAACCTTTACCTTTAGTAGGTGGGTATGACCTTTCCAGACCTGGCAAAGGCCAAGTCACATAGCCACCTTCCTTCTTTTTCACCCTGCCTGCTTCCTGCTTCACTTGGACTGCACTGGTTATCTCCCATATGGGATAAACCTGTTTTTACATATTTGTAACTTTAAGCCTAAAGCCTGCCTTCAGGGATGACACCGTGCTCTGCCTGATCACAAGTAAAACTACATTTTGTTACTTATGAATAAGACTGTTGTGTCTTTATTCTTTTAGGAGGGATTCAAGGGGTCTTACCAGGAGTCTTGAGAGACTCACACGAGTCTGCAACCAGCTTTCTTGCTGTGTAAAAGAGGGAATGCACTCTGCTGTGTGAAGAAACTTGCTAGCGTGAGTTAGGAAGGATAATATTAATCAATATATCCTCTCCTGTTACCCACAACATTCCCGCAAGGGGAAGGACATCACCTTTTAGAGAGAGAGACAGCAAGAGTATAGTATGCTATTTATATATTTTTTTTTACATAGAGAGATCACTGTGCCCAGTTTTAGACAATTTCTCATCCAAACTCTTGCTGGAAACCTGTCACCTGCAAACCAGCAATACAGTGGTGCCTTGCAAGACGAAATTAATTCGTTCCGCGAGTTTTGTCGCCTTGCGATTTTTTTCGTCTTGCGAAGCACGGTGTCGGGAAAGTTTTGGAAAAGCTTCAAAAATCACCAAAGTCTTTAAAAACCTCAAAAAAGGCTACCACACCGCGTTCTATGAGTTGCTCCTCGAAGTCAAGTCGCAACTGTATTAACGGTATTAAGAAAAAGGAAACAAACTTGCAAGACGTTTCCGTCTTGCAAAGCAAGCCCATAGGGAAAATCGTCTTGCGAAGCAGCTCAAAAAACCCTTTCATCTAGCGAGTTTTTTGTCTTGCGAGGCATTCGTCTTGAGAGGTACCACTGTATATATTCCTATATCCAGTTACTTGGAAGATTGTAAAGCCTCACACTCAACCTAGTTTGACCAAGAAGGGCTGCCTTTATTTATCTATTTTAAAATGATTGTGTGAATCATCTCCAATGAACAAGGGGAGATTTTGCAGCCTTTTTTTCTGCACACTGACTCAACTAAAAAGCTTCCCTAAAGCTGGCACAAGATAAACAAAGTATCTGTGTTCCTAAAATCAGTCTGTGGCCTGGTTGTAGAGGAAAGTTTTTGCTAAAGATGTATAATGATGGCGGCAGGCAGAAAAGGCCCATTCTCATGTTGCCACCCTCCATCTTTCACAGAAAGAGCACATGAAGAAGGGCTTCAGATGATTATCGCAGGGTCAGTTCATATGAGGTGAGGCAGTCCTTGAGGGATTGTGGTCCTGAACCATTTAAAGCTTTATAGATCAAAACCAGCACTTTTAACTGGGCCTGGAAACTAATTGGCAGCCAGTGTAGTTGGGCCAGGTTTAGCACTATATGCTCAAATTGCTTTACCCCAATGAGCAACCTGGCGGCTGAATTCTGTACCAGCTGAAGTTTCCGAATTGTCTTCAGAGGCAGCCCCACGTTTAATATATTGCAGTAATCTAACCTCTAGGTTAGATGAAGCATGACCTCTGAAGAAGCTGCCTGGTATATCACAAGTGCATATTCTAAAAGTAAGCATTTACAAATGTAATAGTAAAGTGTGCCTCAAATTTTAATTGCAGGGGATGGAGAGAGAAAATGCTTCAGCCATCAGGAGTATGGGAAACACAGTCCTAAATAAACACCTCAGGATTTTTTCGGCATCCCTTTCTCGCTTGACCTGAAGGTTAGACAAAGCTTAACCTAATTTGCCCTAAAAGTGGAATTGAGTCAACTTGTATTGTGAACTTTACTATTTAAAAGAGAAAATCTCTTTTCCTAGGAAGAATGGTCTGTTTGAAACTTTGTACTTATTTAGTTTCCTCATGATGGAAATTATTTCACTTAATTTGGTTAGAGCTACATTGACACAGGGGTTCATTAGGACACCCATTTGCTTGCAATTCAATCTAAAATTAAATACACTTTGTTGTGGATTTTATTACTTTTAAACTACTGTATCTATTGCCTTTATTAGCAGCTAATACACAATTATGAAGGTAAACAGTTTTCATTACACTGTTTGATCTCTTTTAGGGGTGCAACATTTTTCTCCTTTTTCTTTCACATAGCCAGAAGTTGAATTCTGGTTAGTAGCAATCAATTTAGCCTCTTTTCCTACCGATGAAACCTCATACGCATTTTGAATTGCCGTAGTAATACATTTTGGCTATCTTCTCAAATTTTGCCAATTCTATTATTGGAAAGACAGTGGAGATTACAGGGTCAGCATACCTGGTTATCTTTTAGCTGTAGGTTAAGTGAGGGTTATGATGCTGCAGATTTGGATTTAATTATTTGCCTCCCCACTTTTTGTTTGCTGAGGGTTAACTAAGTTGCAGAACTGGCTTTCTCATCAGTAGGTGTCACTATAGTACTGTTTGCACAGCTAAGAGCACCATGCTAGAGCACTGAGTGGCAAAAATAAAGGAGGAGACAACCCAGGAATGCAGATGGTCTTCCACTCATCTCTCTGGTAAAGAGCGAAGAAAGCTATCCAGCTCTGTGGTACTAGACTGTGCTTATTTTATATAAAAAGGCAAACATTGCTATTGTTTTGTTAACTTGCTCTATCTTGTCCAAGGTAACCCAAAGCAACTTACAACAATTAAGGGGAAGACAGGCTAGATAAAGGAGGTGAGGTGACCTACTGTTCTGAAACATAGTAGAAGACTTTTTCTAATTTTGAACACAAAAGTATCTAAGGCCTATAAGGAATGCAAAAAATGTACCCAGCCATTTAGGTTTCTCTAAATGAGGCGCTGCTGCTGCTATGTTGTTCTAGCTGAATTCACAATCACAGAATCATCTGGAGAGTAATTCCTTACCCTAAGAAACCTTGTCCCGTTCCTAATTGGATTGTGCTCTCCAATTCATTAAGCACCACAAGTACAGGAGAGAGATGAGTATACTGCGGCATGCTAGTTTAGGTGGGAAAGATGAGGCTTTTGACACGGTAATACAGAACAAAACCCCTAAAGCAAGTGGTATGTTTAATAATGAAAACCCTAATCTTTCAAAGAAGCAAGCCATGTCACACCTTCTATATTCCTCAGTATCAGCAGCCACCCCTATACCAGTAGAGCCACACTCCTGGTACCAGTTAAAGGTAAAGGGACCCCTGACCATTATGTCCAGTCGTGATCGATTCTGGGGTTGCGGTGCTCATCTCGCTTTATTGGCCGAGGGAGCCAACGTTTGTCTGCCGACAGCTTCCGGGTCATGTGGCCAGCATGACTAAGCCGCTTCTGGTGAACCAGAGCAGTGCACGGAAACACTGTTTACCTTCCCGCTGGAGTGGTACCTATTTATCTACTTGCACTGTGACGTGCTTTCAAACTGCTAGGTTGGCAGGAGCAGGGACAGAGCAACGGGAGCTCACCCCGTCGTGGGGTTTAACCCACAGCGCCACCCACGTCCCAGTTACACAGTTACCAGTTACACAGCAGATAATCAGGATGGAGATGGGGCAGGGCTGTGTTGGAGTCAAGCCTTCCCTGAGACTGCATGGATGGACCAGTGGGAGTGTTTGATTGGTTTTGTCAATGTGTCTGTGGAACCCCAACACAGCTTCAGCTTCGCCATGCTCCCATCCCCATCCAGACAAGCTGCAGTGTCACCCAGAGTTGGGAGGTGGGCACCACAGCTCTGCCCCGCCACACCAAGCATTACTGCCCTGCACTAGGGCCCACAGAAACCAGCATTATTGTTATTGTCTTATTGTTGAGCTACCAGAACGGAGAGGGGAACTCCTATACTTGACAGTTGCTAGCAAGGCTTTACGTTAATAGCACTGGTGTATATAGTAGGATTCTCAGGTAGAAAGCAATGGAAGGGGTAAAGACTTCTGTTACTAATACATACCTTCGAAAGATTTTGGGAAGCCTCCTTCTGAACTCCTCTGTGTACTGGAAAACGCCTTTATGTTTTAAACCCTATACAAAAGAACATTTGAACTTTTAGAATTCTAATAAGCATATCTTTTTAGTATAACCATTTTTTTGCACATTTTCATAAAGACAATGACATAATTTTAAAAGACTATCTTACCTTCCACCTATAATATGCATATCTTTGGTATAGTTTTCTTACACACCCAAACTGGACATTATGCTAATTGTGTGTGTGCAGTTAATGTGTCTAGTTCTTAAGTGAAATAGTAACTGTGACTAGGGCAGGGTGGGTGGACCATAACTGAGACTGGCACATTGGGAAGGTTTTAACCCTTACTGTATATGTACTGTTATCCTGATTAAACCCCCACAGCTGCTATTTGCCCTGGGAACAACCTTCCATTGATTTCAATGGAATCTTTGTGGTACATATAGTATAGTTATTACGTAATCTTAAGAATTTACACAAAAACAACACTTCCTTCTTCAGAAAAAGAAAATCAGCATGTACACATTTCTATCACTTCTCTTCAACTAATCCCAAATTCAGTTATGTAAATTGTAATATTACACTGATTGTTTCAAGGTTGGACAAGATAAAGAAGATGCAAGTAGTTTAAAAATACTAATATTTCCCTCACGAGAAAGCAATTTATGTAGTCAGAATATTCACTAGAATACAACATGCAGACTGAGATATATATATATATATATATATATATATATATATATATATATGCTTTCGTAGATTTTCACGGGTACAGGAATGCAGGTTTTGGTGTCCTCGGGTGTCTTCCCGTGTAAAAGTTGGGGTGTCTAGGCGACGTTTCGACGAGGTCTCACTCGTCATCTTCAGGCTGGTGCTTTCGGCTTCTTGTTACTGGAACAGAGCAGGATCTCAGTGTTTGAGTTCCTATAAATACTGTTGAGGGGGTGTGGTGTATAGCCTCCAATGTTCTGGGCAGAGAGGAAGTTCCCAGGCTAGTGTGCCTTTTCTTCTTTTGTTCCTTAATTACTTGAGGGATATCTTGAGTGATTTCTTGAGTGATATCCTGAGTACCACTTAGGTGGGTCATTAGGTGTGGATTAGTTGCTAAAGCCTTCGTGTCTTGACCTCTTGAACTTTGTGAAGAGTTTTTCTGAGAAGATGGCTGTACTTAAATTCCACTCTAAAACCCCAGCTACCGAAAGGATCCTGAAACGAACTGAACTATCCCTAATCAGAAACGAACTACATAAGAAAAGATACCTACTAAACCAAACCAACAAAGATCTGCTCACTCTTCACCTCAAACTCTGTAACAAAATCCACCCTGCACTCTGGGACAAATGCAAACAACTAGCCGTCTGGAGAGCTGAAACTGAGACCTCACATAAGACAGACACACACACCAACAAACTCCACAAACTAGAGAAACGCCAGAAGCCCAGCCACCCTCCACAACAACCCATGAAACAAACAGTACATAACATATCAGACAGGATCCTCACCTCAACTGAAACCAAAGTACTCTCCAAAGGTTTCAACTTTGCAGTCGCCCCGAGACGCATCCCCACGGAAAACATCATATGCGGAGTCGAAGCTAGCCTAACCAAAATCAACCCAGATGAAGCCAATAAAATCAGACTTGAAGTCACCAACATCCTCTGCTCCAGCAAACCACCCAGAAGCAATTTACACAAAGAAGAACAGAAAGCTCTCACCAACCTGAGGAAAGACAACAACATAATCATTCTCCCAGCAGACAAAGGTAATGCCACTGTTGTGATGAACACATCGGACTACCAAGCAAAACTATCAAATCTACTCCAAGACCCTACCTACCAACCTATAAAAACAGATCCCACCACCTATCTGGAAAAAACCACCAAATCCAAAATAAAAGCCTCTCCTATCAGTGAAGAAATCCAGCTAAGAATCATCCCCAGAGAAAAATCATCCAGATGCCCCAAACTCTACGGCCTCCCCAAGATACACAAAGAAGGAACACCACTCAGACCAATAGTCAGCTCCATAGGCTCACCTCTACAAAATCTCGCTAAATTTCTCGCTAAGCAACTTCAGCCCTATGCAGAATCCATCCCTTCACACGTTACAAACTCCTTCCAGTTCATAGAAACAATAAAGAAGCAAAACCTACATCCCAATGACCTACTTGTGAGCTTCGATGTTGTATCTCTCTTCACACAAGTGCCCATTAATGAAGCCTTGACAGCCATTCAAAACAAATACAATCCCCCCGAATACATCCTGGACCTTACCAACCACTGCCTAACCAACACGTACTTCATCCACAATGGACAAAGATACAAACAGATAGAAGGAGCACCTATGGGATCACCACTCTCACCGGTCATCGCAAACCTGTACATGGAACACTTTGAAACCAATGCTTTAGACAAGTCAGAACACAAACCCAAACTTTGGCTCAGATATGTTGACGACACCTTTGTAATTTGGCCACACGGGAAGGAAAAACTAGATAGCTTCCTCACACATCTCAACAGCCTACACCCCAAAATACAATTCACTATGGAAATAGAAGCCAACAACCAACTTCCCTTCCTTGACGTCCTAATCTACAAAAACCTGATGGCTCCCTAGGACACACTATCTACCGGAAAAAAACACACACCAACCGCTACTTACATGCACAATCACACCACCACCCTGCACAAATAAACTCCGTAGCCAAGACTCTCATCTCCAGAACCAAACGCCTGGCTGACAAAGACCACTTGACAACTGAGTTACAGAATCTCTCCAATGTGTTAATCGCCAATGGATACCAGCAAAACAGGGTTACGAAGCTAATGCAAAAAGAAACACCCCCCAAAAACCAAGACACAGAAGAAAACAATGGCATGGCCCTCCTTCCTTATATCAAGGGCACTACAGATAAAATTAGCAAAATCCTCCATAAACACAATATCAAAACAGCCTTTTGCACCAACCAAAAAATAGCCAATATCCTCAGAAACCCCAAGGATAAAATCCAGTTGGAAAACCAAGGGGTCTATGAAATACCCTGCAAAGTCTGCCCAGCCACGTACATTGGACAAACAAACAGACGAATAAATGCACGTATCGCAGAACACAAGAATGCCGTCAAAAAAGAAGAAAAAACTTCCTCTCTTTTCCAACACATGAAAGAAACAGGACACGAAATTAATTTTGCAGATTCCAAATTGCTCTCTAACATGGAACATCACCACAAGAGAATAATCATGGAAGCCATCGAGATAGAGAAACACCCTCACAACATGAACAAGCGTGACGACACATCCCGCCTGCCAGACATCTGGAAATTAGCCCTCCCCACAAAAACCGACACCAGATCCAGAGGCACACAGAACGCCATCACCAATCAACCACACCAGACCCAAACCCAGACCCTCTCCACAGATAAATTACAGACACCATCCAGTAGCCAAACCATGGTGGCACCTCCGGATGCTGCACCCCCTGCAATCCCTACACAGATCTGGCTGGCACAGGACACAAAACCACATCTCGCCCCTATACACGAAGCCAAGCCAGAGCACAACTAAATGCAGTACAGCCATCTTCTCAGAAAAACTCTTCACAAAGTTCAAGAGGTCAAGACACGAAGGCTTTAGCAACTAATCCACACCTAATGACCCACCTAAGTGGTACTCAGGATATCACTCAAGAAATCACTCAAGATATCCCTCAAGTAATTAAGGAACAAAAGAAGAAAAGGCACACTAGCCTGGGAACTTCCTCTCTGCCCAGAACATTGGAGGCTATACACCACACCCCCTCAACAGTATTTATAGGAACTCAAACACTGAGATCCTGCTCTGTTCCAGTAACAAGAAGCCGAAAGCACCAGCCTGAAGATGACGAGTGAGACCTCGTCGAAACGTCGCCTAGACACCCCAACTTTTACACGGGAAGACACCCGAGGACACCAAAACCTGCATATATATATATATATATATATATATATATATATATATATATTTGTGATGATGTTCTGCATCATTGTTATGTTGCTCGTCAACACTTAGGATGAAACTTTCTGAGGAAATCTTCATGTCTTCCATATAGTAATATTAGCAGCATTAATATTAATAAAAGCATGCTTTGGGTACTGCATATTGAACTCTGCAATGTCTTTATAGGAAGGCATTGTCTAATACAGATAGATGCTGGAGATATGATGTTGGAAATGACTGCTGAGGCATAAGATGCGAGCATATGCAGTTATTTTTTTCTTTGTGGTCTGAAGCTGTTGTCCGTATTAATTTTAAATTGGTGAAACCCTTGATGTCTGAGGATGTTTGTTTATGTTGAAATTATATTCTTGTAGTATGGAGGTTAATGGAAGGATAACAGAAATGGATTTTGTGAGCCTTTGTGGTCACCAAGAGTCTTATACTCTGAGCCTGAAAGGATAAACACCCGCTACCTCCTTAAAATGTAGAACCCTTGCTACATTTTAATGAACTTTTTATAAACTCAACTTGGTTTGGACATTGGGCAAGAATATATCAAGCCATAAGTGGAAACTAAGATGAATGTGCTGATGACCATTTTATTATTATTAATGTGAGCTGATGGGCCCCCCCCCTCTTTATTCTAATTCTTTTTTTAATAAATTCTCAATAAAAAGTGGTTTTCCGCTTGCCCTACTCCTTTGCCAGGGAATGCCCACTCTTTATCAGAGCAAAGGTCAATCCACAGAAAACCTGAATTGCCATTTTGCCTGCTTGAACACTAAAGACTGATCTTTCCTTGGAGAAAGCAGCAGGACAAGGCTGTGGACTCTCCTTCACTGGAGGTTTTTAAGTAGAGATTGGATGGCCATCTGTCCTGGGGGGTGTTATTGGGTTGTTCTTGTTTTTATCTTGATTATGTATTCTGTGTTTTTGTATCATGATTTATCCTGTGAATCGCCCTTAGACCTGTGGGTACAGGGCGGTATACAAATTTAATAAGTAGTTGTATTATTATTATTATTATTATTATTATTATTATTATTATTATAGTTGAGATTCCTGCATTGCAAGGGGTTGGACTAGATGACTCTTAGGGTCCTTTCCAACTCTACAATTCTATGATTCTATGATAAGAGGAAGTGTGGATGAGCTCTGAGTTAAACCAAAATGGACAGAAAAATGGTGGATACCTCACACCATGTCTACTTAGACACTTGGCAATTCTGTGGGGCTTAAACCCAGGTAATTAGGATTAGAGTGTACAGTGGTACCTCAGGTTAAGTACTTAATTTGTTCCGGAGGTCCGTACTTAACCTGAAACTGTTCTTAACGTGAAGCACCACTTTAGCTAAAGGGGCCTCCTGCTGCCACCGCGCCGCCGGAGCACGATTTCTGTTCTCATCCTGAAGCAAAGTTCTTAACCTGAAGCACTATTTCTGGGTTAGCGGAGTCTGTAACCTGAAGCGTATGTAACCCGAGGTACCACTATACTCTTAGGTTGCAAACATACCTGAGTTTAAGTCTCATTGAATTGAACAGAACTTCTCAATAACTACACTGTCAAATCATGATGTCAAACTCATTAATGGCATGAAAGCATAATTAGAAGTATTATTTTCCACATAAATACATATTTGTTGATGTTTATTTATGTCTGTTTTATTTGTATGATATTTGTGAATAAAAAGGCAGGGTTTTGAAAATGAATTCAGAGAGAAAACTACATCAAAGGGCTGGTGGAATACAGGATCTTCTCAAAACTACAAAACAAAACACAGAGGATATATCTGCCTATCTGATTATCTGAATATAAAAGAGTTTGAGGATCTTTGAATACTACTGTAGAGGCGAAATTGTTTGGTTCAGGGAGAGATAAAGGTGCTAACATTATGCATCTCTTGTGTTTCCCATTGTCAAAACCAGAGCACTATATATTTTACCACTAGCTTATTTTTAGATTGTTCTATCTTTGCATATCTTTCTATTTTAAGTGGTAGTGCTTTGTCCAAGTGGAGAAGATTGCAGACAATTGGGGTAGGAGGTAGAAACCCCCAAGGTATCATGTTAAGTAACGTAATACCTTTGAGTCAGTACCTGAAGGCAAGTGACAAATCAATTAAGACTACCATAAAAAGGTAAAAACCCAATTAAATAATTATCTCTTCCACTTGCGACTATTAAGAGCTAATTAAATTCTATATGTTCTATTACATGTGGATTCAAACCCTCCCTTGCCAGTTAAGGAAAGGTATTCAATGGTTACAGATGAGACTTCATAAACATTCAAATGCCTATTGTGATAGGCTACGGCATGGGACTTTGTGGTAAAAATTAGCTTTTACTGACGGCTGCAATTTTTTTTTTAATTTTTAAATCAAACCCACGTATATCTCATGACATAAAAAGGCATTCGACAGAGAATTTATTGCTTCTATGTATTGGTTAGACTGTGTACCGCAGTACCATAATTATTATTTTTCATAACATGATGATGCTCTTGAAAAGTTTAAGGATTTTTAGTAATATATTTAAGGGACAGAATTTTATCTTCACAACATTATTATTATATGATTATTATTATTATATGTTGCTATATGATTTTATGTGATGCCTATACAAGGTCCCCCAGGCAACTCACAATTATAGACATTTGTTTATTTTATTTTAAAAAAGGTAAAGGTACCCCTGCCCGTACAGGGCCAGTCTTGACAGACTCTAGGGTTGTGCGCCCATCTCACTCAAGAGGCCGGGGGCCAGCGCTGTCCGGAGACACTTCCGGGTCACGTGGCCAGCGTGACATTTCTGCTCTGGCGAGCCAGAGCCGCACACGGAAACGCCATTTACCTTCCCGCTTGTAAGTGGTCCCTATTTATCTACTTGCACCCGGGGGTGCTTTCGAACTGCTAGGTTGGCAGGCGCTGGGACGAACAACGGGAGCGCACCCCGCCGCGGGGATTCGAACCGCTGACCTTTCGATCGGCAAGCCCTAGGCGCTGAGGCTTTTACCCACAGCGCCACCCACGTCCCTTTTTTTAAATTTTTTTTTACTTATTATTAAATGTTCCTCTGGACCATAAAGAAGGCTGATTGCCGACGAATGGATGCTTTTGAATTATGGTGCTGGAGGAGACTCTTGAGAGTCCCATGGACTGCAAGTAGATCAAACCTATCCATTCTTAAGGAAATCAGCCCTGAATGCTCACTGGAAGGACAGATCGTGAAGCTGAGGCTCCAATACTTTGGCCACCTCATGAGAAGAGAAGACTCCCTGGAAAAGACTCTGATGTTGGGAAAGATGAGGGCACAAGAAGAAGGGGACGACAGAGGACGAGATGGTTGGACAGAGTTCTTGAAGCTACCAGCATGAGTTTGACCAAACTACGGGAGGCAGTGGAAGACAGGAGTACCTGGCGCGCTCTGGTCCATGGGGTCACGAAGAGTCGGGCACGACTAAACAACTAAACAACAACAACAAATGTTCCTCTCTCCTTTCCTCCTAAAGGAGCGCAGGATGGCAAGCATCAAGCGATAAAACGATATAAACATCTTTAAAGCATACAGTATTACAGTTTAAAAATATTAAATGCATCAGTTAAACATTGCAATCACCTAAAACCTTAATAACCAAACCTCTCTTGGAGCTCAGAATTGTATAACTCACAGAGCCCTTGTTCACTGATAAAGCAGCCCCTCTCAGTAGCAGCTGGTAGGGCAAGAGAAGAATGGAACAGTGTTGCTTAACTGGCTTCGAAATGGGGACGCCACTGCCAGTAACCAAGAGGGAGGCAGCAGAGAGGGTGTGGTGAGTTGGCTTCGTTGCTATGACCTCCCCCTCCCCTTCTCCCTCTGCTACATGACCCATCTTTGTCAGACTTTCCCCTAGCCATGACCACCATAACTGGGTGCCCCACTCCTCCATGCTTTTCCTGTCCAAAGCAGTTCCATGGTCCCAACCTGATTCTTCAAGGGGAGGAACCCCTCAAACAGCATCTCTGTCTTTTCTGTCTGTTTCAGTTTATTGGCTCTCATCCAGCCCATCCTCCTTGGTTCTCCGCCAAAAGATGCTCATTTTCCTAATGCCACAGAGCATGTTTAAGAGCCCTTTGGGTGTATTCTCCCTTAGGGGCATTGGTACTTGACACTCACCTGTTTCTGTGGAAAGTTGTCAAGGAGAATCATCTCATCCTGAACACTCTTCTCAAACTGCTCAATGTAAGGGTGAGTCTCTTCCTCGTCACCTTCCTCACAAAGTCCACTTGTCTTGGTAAAGCCAGCAGGCCACACAGAATCTAAAGTGTCTTCATCTGGTTTTTCTAGAAAAATAAAGAATGCAGTAGATTCTTTTTACCGGGAAGAATTCTCTCCCTTGCAATTTATAGTTCTAAGATACTGTTCAGATCCAACAAGCTGCAGTACACAACAAAAGAAGTTTGATTCTAAAATGTCGCTGTAGGAATGTTATGGATGTATACAGTGGTGCAGCAAAAAGAATGGTAACGCCTTGCCGCGTTGACTCATTAGTATCATGTCTGGCACAGTCATTCGACTCAAACTTTCAAGCAACCAGCAAAGACAAGAAAGGGGCACATAAACATGTGGAGTGGAACAATGAAGTTTCAGCATGCCTTTCAGCGATGGATGAGCAAATCTGTCAATTTCAGTTTCTCTCCGTTTCTCTTTTTTCCCAATCTTAAATTTGACTCTCCGCATTCCACATCAACATACACATTTTTGTATACAATTCCCCCTAACAGAATTCATTTCTGTATGTTATTTTCACCCCTTGCTTTTTTTCGGGGGGGACACAGGGATATACATACCCATAAACATTTTGTGAATCTAAGTTTGGCCTCATTGAGGGGCAATATATGAGTAGGATATATGAGTAGGATAATGAGAGTACCTCTAAACATTTTGTTAGAAAAAAAAGCACTTTATATGCACACTTTACCCTGGTATTTCTTTGTTTGCACATATTACTTGGTTCACCTTTAAACGCCGGCTGATGCAGAATTCTTGTCTGCAAGGTCATTAAAGTCCTGTGCTTGGACCAAAACAATAGGCAAAAATTGAAGTCCTTTTGGGCAATAGCAAAAGTAGAAATGAAACAAAATAGTCTTGTTTCATCCCAGCATTAATATATATTGATTCTTCTCACTGCTACAAGCATATGCTTGCATTTTGCAGGACTTTTGGATTACAACACTACATACTCTTCTGCAAATCATACCATGACTTTTGTTCTGATACTTACAGAAGTTTAAGTCACAAATAATCAAGAGGATTCTTTTGCTCATTTTCCCATATTAGGATCACTAAAAGATGACAGCAACCAGTTTGTTCACATCTCGCTTCATCTGGGTTACATGAAGAGAAATCCATGTTTTTAGATTTGTCTACTCTCCCCCACACACACACACACTTTGTGGGAAAACGTCACATCTAAGTTTTTTGCCTTCCATACGTTCAGACACAGAACTGACTCCAATATCTACATCTTATATACATTTTAACTTTTGCCCAGTTAACATTGTTCAGCGATTTCTGAGTACCAAAGCTGCGCTGAAACCCTACCACCAAGGGATATGGAGCTTTTTAATCTGATATATTTTGAATTCTAAGTGTTCTGATTTCTCGTGAATAAACCAGTTTTGTCTGCTGCACTAATTTTCCTCCAAATGTATACACTCTTTAACTGCCTATGCACTTAAGACTGTTGTCCTGTAGCCCCTTACCTGGGAGTAATTTCCACTGAACTCAGTGAAATTTACTTTTGATTACGCATGTATAGGCTTGTACTTTGAACATTATTTTGTGCTATACACGATTGGTAAATGGATATATTGGTAATATAGGACAGATGCCTAGAGAGCAGAAATAAAATATTAAATATTCAGTATTAAGTGATAATTTTGAGTGGTGGCAGCAATGACTATCATTTTATGATTTTTTAAATCAGGGAATTGTCTGAGAGTGCAAAATTAAGAGGCTGGCAAAACACACACAAAATTGCTTGGCCTTTGGCTTTAACGCAGCATTACATTGTCTTAGTTTTCAGTATGGTTTAGGGGCCTGATGCATTTGTTGGATAGCTTGTAAATATGGATTCATGTGCCTGCTTGCAATTATTTTGTGACCTATCTATCATTAATGATTTCTATGTAGAAATCATGAAAATTCACCTAGTCATAGGGCTTGGTCTCACACACATATGTTCATTTCTTGTTGACTACAACAGCAAGACATTATTTGCTGTTGAAGATGGACCACCACAGACCAAATTTTGGGGGCATCTCAAGCACACAGTTCTTTTTGGCAGGGACCATTCACACTTCCCCTCTCATGTATCAAATGCAGAGTAGTTGGACAGAGCAAAGATGGGGAGCCTGTGGCCCTCCAGATCTTTTTGGACTTTAGCTCCCTTCAGCTCCAGCCACCATGGTCAACAGGCAGGACTAATGGGAGTTAAAGGTCTGCAACATCTGTAGGACCATAACTTCTTCCTACATCAGCAAGAGAAACTAAATGATGGTTGGGAAGTTGTGAACCAACTCTTAGTCCTTTATTATACATGAATGAGCCAAAAGGCAAACACAGTTCAAATATGTGAATGAAAGACGTTTACCATGTGGCACCAGAATTCTATTCTCTTCATCTAGAAGAGTCATCAGTTTGTCATAGAGGAGTTTCTCATCCAACTTCACAGGCACTAAAACAAGAGAAGTAATGGAGGTCAGAAAAGTCTGGATAATTTCAAAAATTCTTTAAGTGCATATATAACATGGCATGTAATAAGCATTTAGAGTGCAAGCTTATGCATGGTTTCTGAGATTTAAGTCTCACTGTGTTCAGTGGAGCTTGTTCCCTTGTAAGTGTAGCTAGAGTTACACCTTTAACAACTCTCTTGGACACCAGCAACTTCCACATGGCTGGGAAGGGCATCAGCAATATTGGAAGTGAGACAGAATGGCCAACTCTCAATAACAGTCTATTGCTGGGAGATGGAGTAGGGCAGGAATCAGTAATCCCCTTAAGAAGCAGAGCACCAGCTTGGACTACTGCAATGCACTCTATGTGGGGCTACTTTTGAAGTTGACTCAGAAACTACAGCTAATCCAGAATGCGGCAACTAAACTGGTGACTTGAAGTGGCCGCTGGGACCATATAACACCAGTCCTAGAGGATCTACACTGGGTCCCAGTACAATTCAAGTTTTGGTGCTGACCTTTAAACCCCTAAACAGCCTGTATACCCGAAGGAGCATCTCCACCCCCATTGTTCAGCCCGGACACTGAGATCCAGCTCTGAGGGCCTTCTCACAGTTCCCTCACTGCGAGAAGAAGTTACAGGGAACCAGGTAGAGGGCCTTCTCAGTAGTTGCACCCTCCCTGTGGAATGCCCTCCCATCAGATGTCAAGGAGATTAAAAGCTACCCAACCTTTAGAAAACATCTGAAGGCAGCCTTGTATCGGGAAGTTTTTAATGTTTGACCTTTCATTATGTTTTTATTTGTGTTGGAAGCCACCCAGAGTGGCTTAGGCAACCCAACCAGATGGGCGGGGTATAAATAATAAAATTCTTATTATTATCATCATCATGCTCATTAGACCAAGCTCCTGCACAGCTGGGAGTAAGGTGGAGGTGACAGGTTTACTAGTTGATCAGACCCATAAGCAAAGCAGATGTGGGAGTTTTATAAATGTTAGGTATAAGGTCCTTAGCCAATGTGGTGCTCTCCCAATGTTGCTGGGCAACCATCATCTTCGATTATTGGCCGTGCCAGCAGGGTTTAATGCCATCCAGTGGAACAACATCCTGACAGCTCCAGATTGGCTTCCCCTGATATGAGGGGCTTCTTCATCTGGTCACCTTGCCATTTCCTTTCTTGGGCAGAACTGGGTGGAGATGCACAGGCTCACCTCTCCACCCCTGAAAGTAAGATCTGCTATAGACTTGACTCCCTGGGGGATTCCCATTTGGATTTTTTTGATTGCTACATCCCAGAAGCAGTGCAATATATGAATGGGTTATGAGCAAAGGATATGTTTTAAAAAGAAAGATCCAAGGTTAAAAAGGCTAAACCACCCCTTGCATATCTTTTCACATGTTTAAACTTCCAGAGCGAGGGAGGAGAGAGGAGGAGAGGGAGAAGAGAAGCAGGGGTGATGGAAGGAAGAAACATGTATCATAAATTGGGCTTTTCAAAAATAAAACTGTGTCTTCTGGACACATCTTATGCAAAGCTCTCTTTTCCAATCTGTGGCCTCATGCTGATCAAAGTAATTATGTCTGGAATAAAGAAAAGCTCAGTCTTGTGCTGTGGTTCTGTAGATCTTAACCAACCTGGGGCTGCCTGCCATGGCTGACATACCCTTAGTAAATTGGACTTTCACATGGCTTTCAAGTGACAGTTGTGCCAGAGACATGGTAAGAGAAATTCAGAAAGACAGCCATTTAGATATGGCTCCCCGAGACACAGGGAGACCTAATATATTAAGTCAAACAAAAGGAACAAATTGGACGGACTTTTCTAAGGGCTTTTGTCTGTTCCACATAACAACCCAAGGGAATGTTTAATATTCATCTTACGTTGTTCAGTCTCCCATTCCAACAGGCTGCGGACACCGAGTTGATAATATTTGAATGGGTCTTTGATAACATTCCTGGAAGATTTAGGGTGTTTATTGTATTAAGTCTCTGTGTATTTGCACATTTTGTGGCAAGATAGACTGACAGACCTTTGAACCATATGGCTTGCTTCACTGTGAGGGAAGATCATGGCTTTCAAAGGTCCATCTGTCACATTCAGATATCAAGGGCACATACAGTGGTGGCCTTGAGTTATACCACAACAAGGGAAATTCCCGCCCTTGGAGGTTTATAAAGGCAAGTTCTGAACATTTTTAGGGTGGCATTTCTTGCTCTCTGTTAAGCTGGTAGAGATATGGTTCAGCTGGATTTAAATTGATAATTGAATTGTGTCCTGGAATAGCAAGGAAAGGTCACGTGGAACCTGTTCACAAGAACAAGTTGGCCTAAGCCTCTGCATGTCAACTTGAAAACACTGGCCATTTTGTTCCTTCTGTTTCACATCACCCTTTATTATATGCCCAAGGAATGGAAATACTGTGTGTTTGTGTGTCTGCATATGAGTTAACAGGCACATCCTTGACTGATGGATTTGAAGACTGGCTACAGGGAAGTTTGGGGTGTGCTGAAGGAAGGATCTCTTGCTGCAAATTATTGTATAAGGGCAGCAACTGGTAGAAATCAAGAAGTAGTACCTTTATAACAAGGGTGGGCCTCCAACAAGACAGTCAGTGATGGAAGTCCAAATGTTTCACACCCACTTTTTGCATTATCCATCTTAATTGTGTGTCATTTGGTTGACCGTAGAAGCGAGTTATTGAGTTTGGAATGGGAAGAGATTTTCTTTCAGCTTTCCTCATATAGGTAGCAATTCAATCTAGTGGTACAATCCAACCCTAGATCCTCCAGAATGAACAAGTTAGGATGTGGCAGATCTCTGGCTCAACCAGCAGTTTCCTAGGTCAACCAGGCTACACCAGTATAAGCCCTCAAAACCAGCTCAGCATAACTACCTTATCCCAGCTGAGCTGGGGAAAGCCAGCTGAACCAGGAAGGGCAGAACACACACTGGAAAATGGGCATTCTTGGGGAGTGATTGGTCAGTGATTGGTCGGGGCAGGACTTATGCTGGATCCTAACTCCATTCCGCTGAGTCAAGTGACCTGACAACCTAGCTGAAATTACACTGGCAAAAGGGTGATAAAGGCTTGTTTTCCCTCTGGCAGGTTTAGGTCATTTCAGCCGACAGTATCCCTCTTGAGAGTCCCATGGACTGCAAGAAGATCAAACGCATCCATTCTTAAGGAAATCAGCCCTGAGTGCTCACTGGAAGGACAGATCGCGAAGCTGAGGCTCCAATACTTTGGCCACCTCATGAGAAGAGAAGACTCCCTGGAAAAGACCCTGATGTTGGGAAAGATGGAGGGCACAAGGAGAAGGGGATGACAGAGGATGAGATGGTTGGACAGTGTTCTCGAAGCTACAAACATGAGTCTGACCAAACTGCGGGAGGCAGTGGAAGACAGAAGTGTCTGGCGTGCTCTGGTCCATGGGGTCACAAAGAGTCAGACACGACTAAACGACTAAACAACAACAACATCCCTGCTGTCCGAATGAAGTTCGGATTTGGCGTATTTTATGCCAGTTTAAATGATTGGGACGCGGGTGGCGCTGTGAGTAAAAGCCTCAGCGCCTAGGGCTTGCCAATCGAAAGGTCGGCGGCTCGAATCCTCGCAGCGGGGTGCGCTCCCGTTGCTCGGTCCCAGCGCCTGCCAACCTAGCAGTTCGAAAGCACCCCCGGGTGCAAGTAGATAAATAGGGACCGCTTACTGGCGGGAACGTAAATGGCGTTTCCGTGTGCTGCGCTGGCTCGCCAGATGCAGCTTTGTCACGCTGGACACGTGGCCCGGAAGTGTCTCCGGACAGCGCTGGCCCTCGGCCTCTTGAGTGAGATGGGCGCACAACCCTAGAGTCTGTCAAGACTGGCCCGTACGGGCAGGGGTACCTTTACCTTTATGCCAGTTTAATTTAAGATGATGTAAGTTGTGCTTGCTTACTAGGTGTCTTTCCTGTACTTCCTCTGTGTGATCATATTTGTCTCTCATTCACACTGTTGTCTTTTTTTAAAGGGCAACATTTTTATTTAATGTCTCTAACCAAACCGGGATTACAAAAGGAAATTTCCAAACGAGAAAAATTAAGACACTTATTCTACCTGTTCTACATAACATCCCCCATCGCGAGATTTAAAATCTAGGAAAATACTTGATTGTTGTCTTTTCTCAACAAAATCCTGATTGTGAACCCACACAGTCAAAATAAGTTAGTTCTGCGGTAACGTTATTCAAAGCCACGCCTGCAGAAATTATACAATTTGCTATGCTAGTCTTGACCGGGTATTTTAAACATTTTTTAATTAACTCATATGCTTAGGTGGGTGTTTTTCCACTCTATACCTGCACTCATGAAACTCAGTTTTAAACACAACCTGTAAGCAGAATGCCAGGCCACACTGAGTTGCATGTATCTGCCTGCTAACACACTGTCCTTCATCAAAGACTACCAAGGCTTTCCATCACATTTAGAGCGGCTAATACTTATAATTTAAATTGTAAACTGGATATTTAAATGGAACCGAATTTGTGATCTTTGTCACCTCATTTCCATGAATGGGAAAGAATATTCTGACACAAAAATTACATACTTAATTCCACCTCACCTTCTTTGCTGACCTCCATCCCACACTGCCTTGGGTTTATTTCCTCATCCATCGGAGGGTCAAAGTAATTTCTGCTGCATTCATTTCCTGTGGAAAGTACATGAAGTAAGGGTCAGTGATTATTAGAAGCACATGAACCAAAATGTTAATTTTGAAATTTGACACCGGCACACAAGAGGGACATTTCTGCTACTACTTTATAAGATTTCTTAAAAAACAAGTCTTCTAAGCTGACTGGTTTCATAATTATCATCTAGGGAAAGGTCAGAAAAGGTAATTTTGGAAACAAGTTCAGTTTATGTTACTTTTGCTCAGAACCTAATGAGAAAATTCTCAAATGTAGATGATAGGTTGATAAAAGAAAGAAAGAAAGAAACAAGCAAGCTACCTAAAACCTAATCCTAAACCAAAATTATTCTTGAGATGGGCTCTGAAAGTGACTGTTAAGGAGATTGTGTTTCACAGGTGACCCCCTTCAATTTTAACAGTTTTAAGTTTCACCACTGAGCTTTCAACATCTGGTGCATCCTTAATGCTATTGCCAGCCATGGAAGTGTTTAATTACAGAGGAGATGTTGCAAACGCTGCCTCATTAATCTGAACAGCAATTGTATTAACTTGGGCTCAGCATCCGCAGAATGATTTTGATGAAATAAAAGTACTCATTTAGCAGTTTCAATTTCCATAGCTAGCCATACAAAGTGCTGCAGGAACTAATGAAATTGATAAAAGGAAATACAGCTGCTGGCACACAATATTCTCTTTATGGGCTTCCATACTCTAGTCCTGCAAGAGGGCTCCTTGTGCCCAGAGGGGTTTTTAGCGACGCAAGTGGAGAGCTGCACCTGATCCAGTCACGGAGATGGGCCACCACTGGTACACAGGGATACTGGCCATTAAGAAGGGATTGTGACAGGTCATATTTGTACTAAACTCCTAGCAGCTTTCAGTGCTGACATCCGTGCAGGAACCCTCATTCGTGTAATAATAATAATAATAATAATTTATTATTTGTACCCCGCCCATCTGGCTGGGTTTCCCCAGCCACTCTGGGCGGCTTCCATAGAAACCAAAAACCCCACTAAAATATCATACATTCAAAACTTCCCTGAACAGGGCTGCCTTAAGATGTCTTCTGAATGTCAGGTAGTTGTTTATCGTTTTGACATCTGATGGGATGTGTAGAATAGGGATGGGCAAATCTGGTGTCGGTTGCCCTCCATTTCTAATTTTTCCAATCTGAAATTCAGTTCTCCACATTTCCACATCAGTTTGCAATCTTTAAATAAATAAATGAATCCTCATGGAAGAGTTTAGTGTGCATATTTCCTTATATGCACATGGTTTGTAAATATTTATGCAAAGCAACTTCCTCTAAAATACCGCATTTTTGTGTGTTGTTGTCACAAATACATGCATTGCTTTGCAGAAAACACCCCAAAAATACACCATATTATTAAGGGGGTGGGGGATTCCAAGAATCAAACATGTGACAGGGATAACATATCCAAGGCATACTGCAGCAATCCACAGTATATTTGTTTTAGATCTTTTTTTATAAAAAAAAGTAATCCAGGCAGCAGCTCCTTTTCAGAGACTAAATGAAACTCTGATATGAAACTAGGTTTAATTTAGATTTCTGGACCAGCACACTTTGACTGTCAGGCTCTGTTCTTTCCATGCAGTAAGTACAAGACCTGAAAATTTGCTTTACCTTGAGGTCTCAATAAAGAAAAAATAAATGAGTTTCATTTTTGTTACTTTATCTGTCAACAACTACTAGGCTGGTATGAATCTTGGCAGTATGTAATCAAAGTCTTATGTACCGCAATAACAGAGCTAGTCTACCTTATTCAGTGTAATTGTTTTCCTCTAGCACAAAGCACTGTGAGAACATGCTCTTTTTCAGAGGTTGGCAGAATAATTCACTTGGGTGTTAAAAGAGAAAATGGTGAATGCATATCTATGGACGAGTTCTCCATCCCTATACATGGACTTGCAAACGCTGCATAAGAAACAGGCCTAGGATCCATCCTCAGCCAATCATGTTGAACTATAGTATGCTTTTTAACCTATAATGGTTTTTTTAAAAAGTAACAATCTGAATTAAAATGGAATATAGGCAATAGCATTGGGTTTCTTTGTTCAGCACCAAGAACCATGTGAGCACCATTCTTTTGCACTTCCTCTTCCTTATCCAGCACCTCATGTTTATCTGGAAAACTGCTCCAGAGTACATCTCACCAGATCCATGTGCAGGATGTCTATTTATACATTCAAGGGCTTCTAAATCATTTCACTGGTTGTACTGGAATGCAATGGGCAGCAGAATCCATACTCAACATCAGTGATGTGCTTTCTCACAGGATATTAGATGCAATGCAAGATTAGACAAAACCTGTGTCTTGTCTCACTGAAACTCAAAGAAAGTCTTCATCACTCTTCTTGCATTATTCTACTGAGCCATGGGCTCAGTGACGGAACATCCGTTTGGCATACAGAAGGTCGCAAGTTCAATCCCCAACATATCAAAGAAGGGTTGAGAGAGACTCCCTGTCTCTCCCTCCCTGGAGAGCCACTGTCAGTCAGTGTGGACAATTCTGAGGTAGATGAACCAATGGGTCCTTACTCAGAGTAAGGCAGCTTCCTATGTCAGTTTCTGGTTATTCTGGTAGCTAGCCAGACATAGATTTGATTAATATATTGAGAATTATTATATGATCATTGGAGTGTTCTAGCTACTGTTGACATAATATATATTTTTAAAACATCTGTTGCATTTGATTTGTAGTGTTTGTTTTATTGTAAGTCACCATGAGACTTTTGGTATAAGGGGATAAATGAAATAAAGTAAAGCAGAATACATTTTTTCATGCATTACCCAGCATTTATTGATTTAGTTTATGTTTGGGATAGTTATATCAACACCAGCAACACTGTGTTAAGGGGGAACAGGCGGGTGTTGACTTGAGAAGTAACCACTGAACGAGGAAGCTCCTATGAGCAGTGCTTGCTTATATCAATTGAAACTTGGAGCCTTGATAATGGAGGAAGCCATTTTTGGTGACACTCATACCTCACAGGTATGACTTAGGTATATGACTTAGGATTGTGTTTCAGGCAGGGACTGAGAAGACTCCTGGGCACCACACATTTTAGGGAAGCTTTAAACCGTTTGTCAGATGGTTTTATTAGAGCAGTTGCTCAGCACCAGAACCTCTTTTTCTCCTCCAACATGTGGAGGGGGGGAGGAAACTCTCAGAGTATGTGCAAAGCACTTTTGCCTTCTTGCTGAGTAACCATAAGATAACCATATGCATTTGGGAGAGGACAGCTTTCAGACCAGATACTTTATGCAGTTCCTAGAAAGGCTTGGCTTCAACACCTACATTAAAAAAAAAAAAAACAACAACCAACAATTGATTATATGTTGATTGCCAAAGGTCTACTTTCTTTGAGGAAATGCTATGGAACCCAAGAAATGGCTCAGCAAATGAAGCCATTTTGATTTGTTGTTTGTTTCCTTAAAATTTTTAAATACACTAACATCTCTATTAAGCAAGCACCAAAAGCATTTTGCTAATTATGTGAATTCATGAATAGATTGGGAACTAATTACTTACTTGCTTTTGGAAATATGCGAAAGCATATAACATGCAAATGAAGAGGTCCACTGAGAAATTTGTGTTCTGCTTCTTTACACAACACATACAATCAGGCTGTTAAGCTAAATGCTAATACAGCATTAACATTACACAGAAGCAGCTTTAGGAACACTTGCAAACATTTTCTTTGATTTAGACCTGAGCTATTTGGCGCTTCCTGTACTTCTCGTTGGCTCAGAAGAAAGAAAACCAGAGCCTCGACTGAAAATGTGCAAAAAAAACCCCCAAGAAGTTTTGTTCTGGGTTCTGTTAAAAACCCTTCATGATTGAGAAGAAACTTAAAAGTTTTATAATGGTCTTCTGAGTTGATTTATTTAGGAAAAATTATATAAACTGCTTCTTCTTGGATATGCTATCTCCTCTCACATGATGGCTGAATACATGAAACAGGGCTAGTTTTCTCTGGTGTTACTTGACAAGGTCTAAGGATCAACAAGCTAAGCTTTTCGGTTTGCATGGAGCAAGCTGTTGAGAAAGACTGTGAAAACTTCTTAAGACAATTTCCATGAAAGGCAGGAGTTGCTTTCATCAATAATATTTTCAAGACGGCTTTCCATCTTACAGGACAATCCAGCAAGCCCTAATTAAATAGGGCTTACTCCAGGTAAGTGGGGTTAGGATTGCCGCCTTACTGTAGTTATTCCAATCAGTCCACACACTGATCTGGCAAAGATCCTCCTTCCATAGTGGAGTAGGTGCATGGAGATTCATCAAGTTTTAAGCATATAAGATTTAAGTTCTGATTTGTGCAAGAGTTAACCAGATTGTGGTTTTTATCTCATTTAAAAATCTAGTGTACCAAGAAGAAGAAGAAGAAGAAGAAGAAGAAGAAGAAGAAGAAGAAGCAGCTCAATAAAACCATTCCATTGTGTTGGGAGAAGCAAAACAATAACCACATTCCAATCCAGATACCAATTGATCCAATTTATTTATTTGCTTATTTATTGTATTTACATCCCCCCTTTCTCTCCAAGGAGCTCAAGGTGATGTATATGGTTCTGGCCCTCCTTATTTAATCCTCACAACAACCCTGCAAGGTAAGTTAGGCTGAGAGACAGTGACTGACCCAAAGTCACCTGGTGACCTTCATGGCCAAGTGGAGATTTGAACTCTGGTCTCCCAAGCCCAACCCTATAAGCACCACACCACGTTGGCTCCCCTTGCCCACTAGGCATGTCTGTCCCATTGGACATCCATGCATGGCCATAACATTTGAGAGGGCTTATGCACCCAACATCCAGTGTTTGTAGGTGTGCAAAGGCTAATTGACTTCCCTCATATAACCTGGGACTAGAGCAGTGAATTTGTGCAAGGAGGGAAATAACTTTGTTGAATGCACCTAATGCCTCATAATTCCTCTGCTTGGAAGACTTGTGTATCAGGTAGAAGAAGACTTTGCACCTCACCTTTTACTTGGCCTGCTGGTTTTCCAGATGCAGGCAGATTTGGTGTGTTATGTACTGAGCTGCATAGGATACAAAAGGCAGCAGTCTGATTGGTCCTAGAACAATAGGATTCAGAATGCAGCAGTATTATGGGTCCTAGAGCAATGCAGCAGTATGATTGGTCCGCAGGAGCCACCCAATCCAGCTCCAGGTGGAAGTGAATCCGCAACCTGATTGGCCTACAGGAGAATCCCGGAATTAGCCAATCACGTGCGGCCCATTGTGTAAATAACGTATATAAAACAGATATTTTGGGGGGAACATTCATTCCTCACTACTATGAGCTGAATAAAGAGCATGAAATCCACACTCAACTCCGAGTATATTTCATGGTGTGAGGCAGCTTTTAGACAGGTTATTCCCCAGATGCAACTGGGAGTGGTGCTGTCTCAGTGCTATGTGCCTATCTCCACATTTAGCTCTGCTTTGAAACTGTCACTGCTGACAGGTCCCGGATAATGTTCATGAGCATTAAGCAGATTCAATTCCCGTCTGTCTAGGACGGTTTGAACGTTCCTTCCCTATCCAGGCTTCTCCCCTCCCTTTCCTCTCCGTGGAAAACTGACTGCATCTGCTCCTGTTTGCACATGTGATGCTGCACGCACAGTGTCGTTTTGTTGGCAATTCTTTTTTACTGCAGGCAGCAGAGGGCATTGTGCCAGTGTGAGACCTGCTGGCTTTCCTGGGGAAATGCTGTGTGTTGAATGGCTCAGAAAACACTTGCTGGTGTGAACTGAGCCTGTTAATAAGCGCCATTCAATAATGCGGTTTTGATTCAGCCGTTTTAACTATTGGAATTTCAATCCATAAGGAACCAGACAGAAGCTGAGACATGCTTAAGGGCAAGGAATCCCTGTAACCAGTGCTATTTTTCTAGAAAAAGAGGTGCCGGAACTCACCATGAACACCTCCCTTGTTTTCTTATAATGGCAATGGTGCCCACCTGATGGGGGGGAGCCTGACTGTAACACAGTACCATATTGATGGGGTGTGTGTGGATGTCATACCTTCCAACATTTCTCCAATGAAAATAGGAACGTCCCATTCCATAATGATAATGTTACTATTTATACCCCACACATCTTACTGAGTTGCCCCAGCCACTCTGGGCGGCTTCCAACATATATAAAAACATTTTTTAAAAACCTTCCCTACACAGGATTGCCTTCAGATGGCTCGGAGGTTGGATAACTCCATACCCTCCAACATTTCTCCAAGAAAAATAGGGGTGTCCTAAGGAAAAGTGGGACATTCTGGGATCAAATCAGAAACTGGGACCGCTTCTCTCACTCAGCAGAGAAGATGATAGAGGTGCAATGGCTAAGACTACAACTGAACATAGGCTTCCCCGGGAATTGTTGCTGGCATCTGTCCGTCTTGAGAGACATTGGATTGCACCTCCAGGGCTGAAGACAAACTGCTGCATTAACGGCACCAAAGTGACCTGCCCGGGCCCCAAGCCTGGGCAGTGTGTATGGAGGTCCTGGGCTGCCCAGACAACGAGATCCTCCCCCTCTCATCCTCACTGATGTGGTTCAAAGGAAAGCAGAGCAATATGTTCAGTGCCAGCAATGCACTTGGTGCCTCCACTCTCACTCAATCACTGCTCCCCCCGGAAGCAAAAATTGCATTGGGTCCACTTGTCTAGCACCTTCATTTTCTAGTGCTCTGCTTCCCCGTGGGAATTTTTCTAGTTTTAAAAATACATCATTTCAAAACAAATTAATTCTTAGAATGCAAGTCAAATCAGGAAACGTGCAGGAGGTGGGGTGGAATATAGTACATGTATAAAGTCAGTAATAAATGTTGGAAATGTAAAGAAAAAGAGGGAACATTTTACCATATGTGGTGGGAATGTAAAAAGGTGAAAAACTTCTGGGAGATGATACATAATGAGATAAAAAATGTTGAAATATACATTTGTAAAAAAACCAGAAGTATTTTTACTAGGCATTGTAGGGAGTGATATAAATAGAAAGGAATGTAAGCTCTTTTTATATGCAATAACAGCAGCAAGAATATTATTGGCCCAAAAATGGAAGCAAGGAGAGTTACCGACAATTGAAGAATGGAGGATGAAATTAATGGACTATGCAGAACTGGATAAACTAACAATTTCTAGTGCTCTGCTTCCCCGTGGGAATTTTTCTAGTTTTAAAATACATCATTTCAAAACAAATTAATTCTTAGAATGCAAGTCAAATCAGGAAACGTGCAGGAGGTGGGGTAGAATATAGTACCTGTCAATTCAAAGCTATTATGCAACTTTTTTCCAGGTGGTTCTCCCTATGAAATGGACATATTAATGCACAAATCTCATCGGGCATGCTGAAATTCAGAGCATGGCTGGAAGCAGAGATGAGGGGAACTCATGGCCCTCTGGGTCTGGCTGGACTCCCATCAGCTTTAACAGATGGTCTGCTGACTTGGGATGATGGGAAATGAAGTCCAGCAACACCTGGGCGGCCACAGGTTTCCCACTCTTGGCCTATGGGCAGGTGACCCAGCCACTGTGCTGCTGCTAAGTGGGTCTGGGTTTGATCAGTACCAGGATGGAGACCACCTGTGAACCCTATGCAAGCTGTTCCTTGACGGAAGAAAGGTAAGACTAAAGAAGACTAAAGAAATGAACACAGAAACAATATGGCAATTAGTAGGGTTGCCATATTTCAAAAAGTAAAATTCCTGACACCCGCAAAGTTGTTGAGGGTTTTTTAAGAAAAATTGTTGAGATTTTTCAGGAGAAACCTACCCCCAAAATAGTGATTTTAAGCTTTTTGAGCTGTTTCCGCTGCTTTTTCCATCACATTGCCATACATCCGGGTTTTCCCTGACATATTGCCATTCCAGCAAAATTCCCCCATGACGCCATTTTTACACCCAGGAACCAGGACATGTCAGGAATTTTCCTGACATATGGCAAGCCTAAATTACAGAGGTAAGACAATGCTAAGCATTAAATAATCTTGGAAACTTAAATACAAGGGCCTCATACTAAAGGAGATGTCACTGTTGTCACAACAACAAAATATTGTTGGCTTTCTTGGATTATAATACTGTGGTTATGATTTAATAGATAATAGTGCAGCAGAAGGGGAGAAGCAAAAACTTCATGGAAAACAGGGTGGGAAGTTGATAAAAATAAGAGAAATGACAAAACGGTGTTTTGATTGTATATGTTAAAAATATTGAAACTTAGTAAACTATACAGTGGTACCTCTACTTCTGAACGTGATCAGTTTGGGGGTGCCGTTTGCACCCTGAAAAGTCTGTAAGTAGAGCACCGCTACTGCGCATGCGCAAAGTGCGATAGAGCGCTTCTGTGCATGTGCAAAGTGCACAGATCGCTTCTGTGTGTGCATGCGAGGCGAACCCAGAAGTAAACACTTCTGGGTTTGCTGCGTTCGTAACCTGAAAAGCCGCAAAGTGAAGCAAACTTAACACGAGGTATGACTGTAATTGGAAAAAAAGACTGTTGGCTTTCTATTACTATATTAGATGACTGGTGATAAGCTTTTGTAGACACACAGGTAAAAAAAAAACAGAATAAATTAAGGGGGAAATATAAAAACAGAAGAAATTAAGGGGGAAATATTGGTTGACAGACAGCATTTGGGTGATAGCTGGGAAAGGATTACACGTGGTTGTTGCCTAATGAAAAAGCATTCCCTCTAATCTTGGAGCCAGCATTCTTGAATTCAGCGCTGTCTTAGTTTTAACGCAACATAAATATTAAGGCAAGACAGAAGAGGGCACTTTTCAATGAAGCTTATTCTGGCACTGATCACCATGCATTTCCCTAATAATTATGAACAGGATGTGAATATAAAAGGAGGAGAGGGAAGAAAGATCTTCAAACGTGTATATGTCAGATGTTTTCAGCAATCATTTTGCCCTCCCAGCTTTAGCATCCCAGGTTTCTATTGGAACGCATCAGGATGGAATGTCTCGTACACACCATGGAATGCACAGGTTAGATCAAGAGCATAACCACTGTCACTCAATCTGATGGTGATCAAGAGTGAAAGCTCACCTCTTGGTTCAGCTTGGGCTTGCAGCCTGAGTTTTTGTTGGTGAGCTGCAAGGGTGCTACCCGGCTTGTCACGTCTAATAACTTCCTCCTCTGAAGCCTGATATGCTGAAAGATCTGTGCTGCTGATGTTAAAAGCTGGATTTGCAATGCCTTCTGCTGCAACTCTCCCATCTTTTCCTATTGGGAAGCAGGGGAGGGGAGAAGCAGCAAGGTCAGAGGAGAGCCCGAAACAGTGACAAGCAGAAAATTCCTTCTAATAATTCCTTTTACTGAAAGACTTGAGAGTTATCAGCATCAAACGGCACCAAAACAGAATTAGGTTAAAATTAACTCTTTATATAAAAAGGAGGGGGGGGAGAATAAATGATTAAAATAATTACAAATTGCACCCTGACAAGCAAGAGCAAAATTTTGCCCACAGCCATTTGTCTGTAATTAGTTAATTAATCCTTACACAAATTATGAGCAATAACTCATCAAGCAAGGCTCACCCATCAGAAATTCAGCCGACTTGGATTTCTTCTGCTTAGTTTGTTTCAGAGCCTTCTGCTGGAACTTCTGGAGGGAAATTGTTAAATGAATAAATTAGCTTAAGAACGAAGATTACCCTTTATGATCCACAACTAACACAGTATTTTAAATATGGGATGGCATTGAAATGTCATTTAATTTACATCTCCGCTAAGGGGTCAAACACTAATTGAACAACAGAGTGGAAGAATTAAATAAAAACAGGAGAAGGAAAGTTAAGACAAATGCCAAATGAAGGTCACATTAAAATACTTCCTTTTGTATTATTTTGTATTATAATTAAGACAAAGACTCTTCATCAAAGGAAAACTTGACCTTGGATTCACTATTCGGTGAACTGAACTGGGTATAGGGGGGAAACAGCATCAAGTGTTGTTTATAATGGTAAACGCATTTTTATTTCTTCAGATTCCTGTTGCCAGTGCCAAAGAAGGTTATCACTTGTGTCCTCACAGTGTTTGTAAAAATTAGCAAAAGAAAAAGCAACATGCTGGTTTTTTGGTCACTTTATGCCAAACCATGAAAAACCAGAGGACAAGACTTATCTAGAGGACCAGATTTATCACAAATGCTCAAACTGTACTTAGAAGCAGCTCCTATGGAATATAAAAGTGTGCAGATGAGACTGGGCAATCCTCCGTCTGCTCATGGCTGACTTCTGCACAATGTATCCCTTAATTCCATTTCTCTTTCTCAACCACCAGCCCTGCTGCTCTCCACTATCAAAAGTGAGCCCAGCTGGAAGAAAAGTGTCTTAGAGAGAAGCTGTGAGGATGGATGAGTTTGTTTGGCTTTCATCATTTATGGTCACCCATCTGTCTAGGAACTATTCAATACATACATGCAATCCCAAGGGCAGAGGGCGCAGGAACATTCACCTCTGCATCATTTTGGCTCTCAAGAGTGTACCCCCACCTCTGCTTAATATATGACTGGGGGGAAATCTGAGTTTAAGCAAATGGGCTTGCTGTCATCACTAGTACTTGGAGCCCAAAAGCTAGCTTCATCTTAAATCATGCATTAAATACACACACTTAAATTGTTTCAGGACAAAGTTTCAAAAGCTGGGGCAAACTTATGTGTGCAAAACTTTCTCAATAATAAGTATCTGAGTACCAAAAGTGGGCTACCCTGAAGAATAGTCCTGAACCAAAGAATTCACTTGAGAACTTTCAGCCAGCCACCATGTCTCAACCTGAAAATATAGGGATAGTGTTACTGGCCTACCTTATAGAGTTCTTGCACAGATGCTGGGATAATGTATGTGATTCATTTTGAACATTCTGAAGGGCTTTATAGGTGTTCAGAATGGCATTAGCAGGTCAACACTCAAAGCAAAAATCGTCATCAATTTTATAGAGTGGTGGAAATGGTTTGGACAGACATTCGCTGCATTTCAAAGCATTTGTGTAGTGGGCAGAGAATGTGTGTTCCAACTAGTGGTGAGCTGAAAGCAGGAGTGAGGTGTCTTGAATCTTTGCTCACCCAGTCCTCTTCTATGCCATCTTCCTCTCCCCAAGGTGGGAGCTGAGAGATTCTGTCAGACACAGGAGTGATCTCAAACTTCTCCATCAGCTGGAAAATATGTTGGCCACAGTACAAGCTCCATCATCCCCATTTCGAATCATTTCGATGGTGGAATGAGCCTTTCAAAACTGCACTGATTCTCTGTTTCTTAGACTTCTTGAGCAATACTGAGTACAAAGCTGCTAGTACCTTATAAGGAAAGAAGGAAGGTGCAAAGAGATTCCATAGGTCCTCCTTATCTTGATCCACTGAGCTGCATGGATAATTTACTAGCTTAAAGGTGGCAATCATAGATGGTAGAAGGTGGAAATTTCATATTTATCCACAAAAACTAAAGGCCAGCATCAGGGTTGGGCAGCTTCAGGCACCTGCCAAGACCCATGTCTCAACAGAGAGTCCACTGCCAGCCCAATGAGCTCTCTGGTCTTCTTCCTGCTCCTTGTTGATGTTGCTTGCTTCCCTGCCATCTCTGCTAGATGGGAGCAAGGAGATGGAGGGGCAATGTCATGGACTGGTTGGACACGGGGGGTGGGGGTGGGAGACTTCAGCTGGGCAACACCCAAGGGAAGAAGGCTCAGAGCCCAGGGACTGGCGGTGGGACGGCAATGGGTGGTCAGAGGCAGAAAAGAGAGAAGACTGAGAAGGAAGTGTTGGAAGTTAAAGAGATAACAGGGTTTGGTGAGCAGGGAGATTCCGTGGCAGAGAGAAGTCCAGAATCAGAATCAGATGTGGAAGCGGGGGGGGGGGGCAAGAGGCAGAGATGTGTCAAGCTGACGAAGAAGCCAGGGCATCTCCCCCTCCTGCTGCAACAAGCTCCCCTTCCTACTGGTCTCCAAGAACCAGAAGCAGTATGAAGAGGGAGGAACATAGACAGGTGCACCGGTCGAGTCTCGGATTGCTTAGGAAGTACCTGGGGGAGGAGACTTGGGCAGCTGTGAGAAGAAAGGAACATTTAGTCTCCACAACTGGCTCATAGAAGCAAGATCAACCGAGAAGAGTTGCTATGCCCATTAGGTCTGGTACTCCTGAGCAGTCCTTGTTTCTTCTAATAAAGAGTTAAGTTCACTTACTCTTGTGATTTATTGTTGACATGCTCCTGACTCCTGCCCCTGTCAGGCAGCAGCTAAGAACTCCCTGCCCTCATTTTCTGGGCAGCTTGGGACAAGAGGATGAGAGAAAACAAATGGGCAGCATCAACAGCAGTAAGGTAGAGGGTGGCAGATGCAGGAAAGAGGATCCATGGAGGTTTTCTTACCCAAGAGCTGCCAACAGACCCTTCCCCTCCATCTCCCCACCAAGGATCTATTTTATGTAGACAGGCTTTGCAAACTGCCCACTCCACAGACACATTACAAATTTCACGAGTTCAATCCAGAATAAATTATATGATGTTTGTAACTAAATAGAAAATTTAACTCACAAACTGCTAGGGCTATTATACTTTTCAGTGCAGTGCTTATTTTTCAATGCCAGATTGTGACAAAACGACATCCTATGCATCCTCAAAATTGCCGCCATGAATGGAACAATTAAAATATTTATTATCATTTATCATTTTCTGTCTTTCTCTCTGAATGGTAGAGAGAAAAAGCATAAAATGATGTATGTCATAGTCACAAATAATACTCTGTCAAAATAATTAAACTATAATCCAAGTGATAGTAAATTATAGTACAGGCAGGTTAAGACATACATTTTCTTTAATGAACACTAAATAAGTATTCAATAAAGCAAATAAGAGACAGAGAAAAATAGCTGGCTTCTCTGATTATTTTAGTCATTCCCAAAAAAGAAAGAAAGAAAGAAAAAGAAAGATTAATATTTCCAAATGCTTTGGGGGTGTCATTAACCTTGTGGCATTTAATGTCTTAAATCAGCTTCAGTTGCCAAATTTTGTTTACATGGCTTTAAATCCCTGCTTTAAAAAAATAAAAGTTCAGGATACTGCTAATTTTTATACAAATAGACTGTGTTTCATTGCATTTCACAGTTATGATCTGTCATAAAGAACCTATTCAAATACAATTAACTAATACTCATACTTGACTTGCATTCTTAATGCCTTACATATCACACTGAACATTAGCCTAGATTTACAGCATGAGACTTTTAAATGTCATTGGCATTTGAGCTTCCTCAAAGGCTGAGAAGTTCTCCAGAGGTGAAGCAACCAGGAAGAGACAAATTCAGTGCCATGTAGGAGACACATAAATAAGGTATCTGGGTAGTTGTTGTTTTAAAAGCAATTAATAGCTGCTGCTGGGGCAATGGAATAGGCCTCTGGTACTGGAGGAGCAGGATTAACAGGGGCTGGTGCTGATTGTGACTGGTAGGGAAGAAGGCTGGAAGACCAGCAGTAGATGGCACTACAACAAATGAAAGGCAGAGCCAACTAGCTTGGCTCTATTTGCTGGCAGCCAATGCCATCCTTTTGACTGGATATAAGTAAGAAGGGAGGCAGGTGGGGGCTGCCGAGGGCAGAATGAGCTTGGTGGGGCACTAGATCATGGGGGGGAATAGGCAAAAGTTTTAGCTCCCAGACTGTCATATAAAAAGCTGGTGGGAATTAAATTGGGATATAAACATTGAAGGGGATAAATGGAGCAATGTATGGACAAAAGCACCATATAAATCTCTGCCAGCAGCTACTAGGAAATGTTCACTAAAAATTGTGCATGGGTGGTATTTAGCACCAAGGTGCTTATAGAAAACCCAATAGTTCTCCGTTATGTTGGAGAGGATGCCAAATTATAGGTACATACCAACATATGTGGTGGGAATGTCTTCAAGTTGAACAATTTTGGAAGGGAGTTTTTAAAGAGGTATCTCAGATTACAGCTCAGATAATCCCCAAAACTCTGGCGTTAGCCATACTTAATTTATATACTTCAGATATGGACCAATTAAGAAGTAAGGAATTAATAACATATTTATCAACAGCAGCTAGAATGGTAATGGCCAGAGCTTGGAAAAACTTTGTGATTAATGAATATAGTAAAGGTACCCCTGCCCGTACGGGCCAGTCTTGACAGACTCTAGGGTTGTGCGCCCATCTCACTCAAGAGGCCGGGGGCCAGCGCTGTCCGGAGACACTTCCGGGTCACGTGGCCAGTGTGACATCGCTGCTCTGGCGAGCCAGAGCCGCACACGGAAACGCTGTTTACCTTCCCGCTAGTAAGCGGTCCCTATTTATCTACTTGCACCCGGGGGGTGCTTTCGAATTGCTAGGTTGGCAGGCGCTGGGACCGAACTACGGGAGCGCACCCTGCCGCGGGGATTCGAACCGCCGACCTTTCGATCAGCAAGCCCTAGGCGCTGAGGCTTTTACCCACAGTGCCACCCGCGTCCCTGATTAATGAATATGGATCACTGGTATAATATATTCTGGTAAACAGCCATAAGGGGAAAGCTGTAGCAAAAATTGCAGATGGCAAGGGAAAAGGGAAAAAAAGAAATTTTTTACACTGTATGGTGTGTTTTTATTAAATATACAAATGTAACAACACATGGATGAGAAATACAACAAATATTGCAATGTGGTGTAGATAATCAGACGCTACTCATTAGCTCTCTCTTATTACTCTGTTTTCCAAGTTGATTTATTGAAGAATTCATTTTACTGGTTTACTGTAACCGCCTCATCGTTATGTACTATAAAATAATACGTTTAGTACTTTTTTACAACCCTAGTGACCCATTTTTTGTTAGTCATGTCATATTTTATCATTTATGTGTGTACAATTTTGTAACAATAAAAATGTTTTTTTAAAAAAGCAGTACTTAGCTGGTGAAGCTCGGAAAAAAAGAGCCAGTGATTGTATGCAAAGGTCTTGCCAGAAGGAGGTTTGATAAGCAGGTTTTAAAAATCAGCTGAACTATCCAAGCATCTAGAAATATAACCAGTTGAGCTTGTGTGGCAGAGGCAGAATGTATCCAATGGCTGGACTAGGTAATGAGTGAATTTGGGATACAGCCTGTGGCAAAAGCCACTTGGAACCTGGTGTCTGCAACAGTATCTCTTGAGTCTTTGGAAGAACTAATCAAGCACACTTAAGATCCCAATGTGAGCTGGTCTTTGACCGTAATAAATTATCTATCTATCTGTCTATCATCTATCATCTATCTATCTATCTATCTATCTATCTATCTATCTATCATCTATCTATCTATCTTTCTAAGACCCCAATATACATATCAGCATTTCCTTATGTACAAAATATCCCCTTAACAAACAATCTTAGTTAACAGTTGGTTTGATCCTCGGTGTTCATGTCAATCTCAAACCTAAGCTACTAGGAAGATTTAATGGCATTCTAAGGGAATTGGTGGCAGTGTTCATGTTGAAGAAATCTAAATTAAAGTCGCAGGGAGTTCTATTTCAGAATTTCATGCCACCTTCAAGAATATTTGGTGAAATCTTCCCACGCTTTCCTTTTTTTAAATCTGCACTGCTGACTGAATCACCTGAAACTATCTGTTTGGTGTGGAACACTTTTGTTTTCTTCTGCTCTTTGCTTGTAGTATACTGTGGATTTTACATCTGGTGGGAAGAAGGAAGAGAAATATGGTGGCGGGAGAAGCAGAGGGCTTGATGTTACTCTTGCCCCCTCCCAGCAATTTGATTCAACAATTAAAAAAAAATTATCTTTTAAAAAAGCACACACAAAAACACGCACATGTGGTTGCTGCAGAGAGGATGTTGACTCAGTGACCCATTTCTCTGGGTCTTATAGGTCTAATGCAGCTTTTCAAGTCTTCTTCTTTTTAATGTAATGATGATTTCCATTTTCTCCTTCCTTAAATTAACAGCGCATATTTTTAAGGGGACACTCTGGCATCATTCCCACTCACTGTGTTAAATACTCATAAGTTGAATGTGATGATGACTTAGAAATTGTTTTTTTAAAAAGGAGAGAGAAATCCTTTCGAAGGACGAGGCCGTCTCTGCACAGTTTAATCAGCAAAGAAAGCAACCCAATGTCATTTCTGTTGGGGATCTTGTGTCACTGAAACGAATGGAATGCTTTCGTACAACTGATTCTGGAACACGGTAATAATGTCTATGTGCAAACACAGCCAGTATTGCAGCAGCAGCAGCAACAACAACAACAATCCTCATTTATAACCAGTGACAACTAAAACCTATGAAGTTTTTAAAAGAATGTGATTGTTGTCAGAAGGAATTGGGTACAACAAAGCCGTGTTCAGTTCTGGTTCCACTCAAAGCCATGGCTCAGGGGTTCTGCAAAAGCTGCTGCAAAGCTGGTGGGCACAGACCAGCCAGAAAGTGAATTTTGCATACTGTACGGATCATCGCTCAGTTCAGGGCAGTCAGATTGAATCTGTGATCAACCCATTGTGCTTCATGAAAACGTCAGCCCACATTTGTGTCTTGCTGTTTTCTCCTGTCCCGCTGTAAACAAGCTGTGCTCTGAGCTGTCTCCCTACCCTTATCTGCTTGGCGAAGATCATACAGACAGACCTCATCAGCAGGCTTAGAGTTAAAGTTAAAGTTACCACTTCCAGACAGCAGTCCCTATGCAGGCTGGGAGTCAAAAAGAAGAGTGCCTTTGGAATGACAGAGTTTTAGTTCCTTTTAGGAAATGCATACCTTAGATTGAGACACAGGCTGGCATGCTATGTCTCTTCCATGAAATTAAATGAGGTGTCCCTAAAATGAACAACTGTTTGAAGCATCAGCAAACTAGCTCAGCAGATTCATCCGTGGACTCCCTCCTCCCCCGGCCCCACAGTCTTCCTCGCCTTTGGGATCTTGACTGAATACAGCCAAAAGAGTAGTGGTAGCTGGAAAATATATTGTCAATCTGGTAGGATTCCAGGAACTTAATAATGCCTGAAATGCTCTCAGGAGTGTAATGATGGTAAACAGGAACAGGTATGTTGGCTTCTGTTTTCATTCACTTCAGTGAGAGCATTCGCCTTTAAACATAAAACAGAGCTCTGCTTCCAGAACTCACCCTAGATAAATATGGACAATATCTTACAACACCGCGCATATCCCTTCTGTTAAACCAGCTCAATTGTATCGGTACATCAACTGCTGTATTTAATTCCTGCAGTTTCCTGGTCCAACAGTTTTAAGACTTTCCTTTATGCAGGTGAGGACAGAACCTCCCGCCCACCTGCCAATCCTTGCCTTATTACTCCATCTATTTAAGGAATAACAGCTAGAGTGAAACAGCTTGCAATTTGCACCTGCCTGCTTTAAGAAGAGCAAACTGTTTACTGCTAATGAGAATGACACTTGGTGGGGTCAAATGTAGTTTTGGTGTTTTCTTTTTTGTAGCTGACTTGCTAGCACCATCTCAAGCAGAAAATAAAAGGCAACATCAGTTGTTGTTTTTTTAAAAAAAGTTTATATGACAAAAGAGCTACGGCTAAATCCTTTAAAAAAAATTGTTGGTGGCCCGTTGCACAGAATATAATACATATATGCCTAGATTTAGCTGACCTATACATTCCTGTATACAGTGTAGTGTTAAACAATTAAGCTTCATCATAAAATTACTTGTTCAGATTAAACCTATTTCAAGCTAACGTTTTTACCTTATATACGTACACTGGATATCTTTAATGCATTGCCCTGCTAGGATGTGGGTACACACATTCACATACATATATAAATTATCAGACTCAATGAATATTCTAAGTAATTAAACTGAGTTCCTGACACTGTGTTCTAAGGAAACTGGAATAAAAAAAAAACTTTTAAAGAAACAGTCATAATGAATTAGCATGTTCATTGTAAAACTATACCATTTTCTCACTTAAAAAAAACCCCCAAACTTCTGATGCACAAAAAATGCAGGCAACAGAATGTGTAACTCTTTCTGTGCTACTGCTGTTCTTATCCTGAGAGTTCTTTAACCTATTACTGACATTTTTCTTCCCCCTCCCCCACCCCATCACAAAAATCATCACTGGTGTAAAAGAACAAGGGCACAACCAATATGAATGTTCTCCAAAAGTGCAATTTAAAATAAAACACTGTCGCCGTATTCCGATTCAACAAACAGCCCATTTGTACGTCCTTTTTGAACAATAAGCAACATGACGATGGGGGTAAGCGAAGTTGAGACTGTCACAAATGTGGGCCTCGGTAGTAATTAATGTAGTTTAATATGGTTGTTGGCACACATCTCGCATGACAGATAATGTTCCAACATGTCACTGATAGGACCTTTCAGCACAGCTTTAGGAGATCTACCAGGCTCTGCCGAGGTTGGTTAGGTCAAAGGGTTGAACCATGTGTAATTCAGAACAGAGGAGGTCCCACGGTCACTCCACAAAAACAATTACACTACTTATTTCGCTCCGTCCCTTGCCCGAAATTCACAAGCCTCACAGTTTCAGTGCAGTCAATCTCGTTCTGCCCCTGGGCTACAAAGCCACATGAAAATATGTGGTGCTGTGTTTATAAATCTAATCAAAAATAGAAACAGTAGACAGGCACAATGAGGTTCCACTATAGATCCCTGGGAATACTCTAAATTCTTGAAGGCACTTTTGTTTAACTTCTGTGGGCCCCCCTCTCTCTATTACTAGTACATTGTCTACAACTCTCGTTAATCATCCCCTTCACTTGTCAGTAACAGAAAAAGGGGAACTGCCTGCCTCCCTGCTTCCTCCCTGTCACTCTTATGAATAATATTATGAAGCAAAAAAATATTACGGAGCAACATTATCTTAAATATCCCCCCGAAATGAAATCACTTACCTCCTTATCCATGGCTTTCCCCCTGCTCAGAGATGCACAAATAGAAATGAAGAAGTTTTTCTGCCTGCAAGAGAAAACATACACCAAAAAAGCCTAGATAAATAAATGATCATTCAGCTTGCACACATTTGACCTCGTCCTAATTTAAGTTAAGCAGTTCTGTTTGCGGAGAATACTTCAGAAAGATATCGCCAAAGGCAGCAACAATACTAGGGATGGGGGGGGAGGGTGTCTTTCTTCCAAGCAGTCCTAACAAAGCCATAGCTGAGATAGTGCCATTTCTTGGTTCTTGGGGTGGGGGCACAATCTCATCAGGAGGGGAATAGTTAAGCAAGAGTGAAAGTTGGCACGATAGGGAAGACCAAGGAATATGTGGCAACAGTGACAGGCACAGCAAGTGGCATCCACTTGCATTACCATTAGAAAGTGGATTTTCAGCATATGGTGTGCACTGGATGTTCTGGAAACACAGAAACCAAGAGGGAAAGTGCTTCACAACTAGTTCTGCACATGCAATGGTGCTTTGGGCTTGTCTTCCTTGGAAAGCTATTGCCAGATTGAATGGATTTGTTATAAATAATAATAATAATAATTTATTATTTATACCCCACCCATCTGGCTGGGCTTCCCAAGCCACTCTGGGCGGCTTCCAAGAAAAAATTAAAATACTGTAATACATCAAACATTAAAAGCTTCCCTAAACAGGGCTGCCTTTAGATGTCTTCTAAAAGTCTGGTAGTTGTTGTTCTCTTTGACATCTGGTGGGAGGGCGTTCCACAGGGAGGGTGCCACTACCGAGAAGGTCCTCTGCCTGGTTCCCTGTAACTTGGCCAATTGTCACAGGCCAATAGCATTTCAGAAAAAAACCAGAAAAAATATAGTAAAACTTAGGGGACTTTAAAAAAAAACTATTTATGATTTGCCATAAGAAGTAGCACGCTCCCCCCCCTTTTTTTTTTCTTTTTGAAGGTGGGGAGAAAAATCAAAAATCCCCCAGAGAAGATGCAGATGCAATTGTGGCCATAATTTAGGCCTGGTCATTGTGCATTCTTAGTTAAGACTCAAAGTTGCCCTGCTGTTTTGGCTCTTGGATCCCACCCCCACCCCAAATGCCCACACTACTCTCCAAACCAGGCATAGGCAAACTCGGCCCTCCAGATGTTTGGGGGTTACAAATACCATTAATAGACTATTCTATTTTAATATTCTGTTGGAAGCCGCCCAGAGTGGCTGGGGAAACCCAGCCAGATGAGCGGGGTATAAATAATATATCATCATCATCCCTAGCTAACAGGACCAGTTGTCAGGGATGATGGGAGTCATAGTCCCAAAACATCTGGAGGGCCAAGTTTGCCTATGCCTGCTCCATACCTCCTGCACTGCTGTCCCACACAGTGCTATGACTGTGAATATAACATGCATGTGGATGAATTACTATCAAAACACCAAGACAGCAAAATTTTGATTTTGAGTGGGAAACAACTTTGGGACAGCGATCCATGACATTCCTCCGGCAAATTAAGGTTTGCATGATTAAAATGGATTAAAGCATTCTAGAGTTCTTGCACAACAAAACTATTTCCTCCCAAAATGTAGACTGTTTGCAGTAAGGAAAGTGATGGGGAATGTGTTAGAAAGTGTAGGGTAATGATTGACAAGAAGCCATAATCTCTGCACAAACAGATCAGGATGTATGTTCAAGGAACAGCAGGTGTGTGCAAATAAATCAGAATGAATGTTCAATAAACAGACTGTCTGAAGGTGCCCTTGCTACACTCCTGATGAGACCCAAGACCGGTGCATGATGCACACTAATCAATCGGTGGCTGTTTGAAAATCAAACAACAGAGAGGCTGTGCCACATGGACAGCAATTGCAAAGCTTCTCAGAAGTGCTAACTTCAATATGACACTGCAAATCATTAGGAGAATGGTGATTTTGGGGCTCTATATTATATTGATTAGTAGTAGTAGTAGTAAATATGCAACTAATTGGTATAGTTCCTATGTTCATGGATTTCAGTAAGTCTACTCCAAGTATGACAGCTGGATAGCACAATAATAGCAAGCATCTATATGGCACTTACAAGTGTTCACATGCATTCATTTGATATATTACAACAGCCCTGTTAGGTAAGGCAATATTATTCCCCCATGCTGCAGATGTGGGGAAAGAGGACTGAGGCAGAAAGAGCTTAAGTTGTGAGCTCATGGTGGAGGAAAGGTTTAAATTGGGTACTTCCTGATACATTGTTCAGTATCTTCGCCACTGCCGATTTGGTAAACAGGAATGTCTAAACTACGTACTAGAGCACCCTTCCTCAATCCAGGTTTCTTGGAAATTGTTGGGATACAACGCCTGCATCCCTGACCATAGCCAGGCTGGCTAGTGATGATGGGAGTAGTGGTTTAGAATATCTGGAGTGTACCCAGGATGGGGAAAGGCTGTGCTAGAATAAAAAATTGGACAAAATGAGCACATTGTGCAAACAATGGGTACAATGAACAAGTGCACTGGAATCATACCTTGGCTCCCACTCTCCCCATTTCTCATTCTCTCAGCAGTTCAAATGTTTCCCTCAGATTTCAAGGGGGGGGATGCAATGTTCAGATAATTCATTTGTATGGATGCAGTCTCAGTCATGGATTTCCTACTTAGAATTCATATGTTGGTGAAATTGCAAATGGAACTAGCAAAGGAATTGAGAGTAGTTTTCTACTGCTATTAATAGCAAAAGTGTAAATATAACTTCTTTATTATTATTACTGCACAAAGTTTTCAGTCTTTTCCTCATTCATCCTTTCAGATCATTCTCAATGCAATTTAAAAGATGAGGAACCAACTCTGAGAAATGGTGACTTGCCTAAGGCTACCAGTGAGTCTGCTCCATATCTGGAACATAAAGTCAAGCTCACATCTAAAACTGGAACACACCATGAATATAATCCAGAACTATAAAAATCCAGGAGGAAAAGGAACTGTTAAAAAACAACAACATGGATTTCCCATGCACATATGCACATATAATTAGAATTTCACATCTTGTAACTTGGTATTCATATATTATTGTATGCATTAAATTATTTGTTGTTGTTGTTGTTGTTTAAAAAATAAAGTTTCCTATGGAAAATTAACTAGATCCTGTCCAAACAGACTTGAAATCAAATATAATTATCATAATGTTATTAAGCATCAATTTCTAAGTATGGGTAGAAGTCTGAAATCGTGCATTTTACAATACACAACCGAAAGTTTAGGATGAGGGCATTAAAATCACATTGCTGCTGGACGTTATATTTTTAAAAGAGCAATTGAGATCTCTCGATCTCTCTCTGGGTTACCAAATTTTGTGCAACACACCAATACTTTATTCTCCTATTTCATAATGGCCTTTGATTAAACAAATCTGAAGAGGAGGGGGAGAAATCCTGATGGGAGAAGCTTAATCTTCTGCACTGGTCTCCTCTTTCCACATCTACCTCCACAAACACAGCTACTGTTGGTAATAGATCAGTCTGTCTGAAAGCAATGAGACAGAAATCATACCATATGAGCAGTCCCAGAAGGAATACCTCAAGTAGTTCATAACATACTCCCCTTGCCTCTGGCATTGGCTCCTGGATTAGTGTCATATATGTGTCAGTATGAAACAACATAGACTATTTGTTTATACATTCTCATTACTCCCAGTTATTTTACTCTATATCCTAGTTGACATTGACTGTATATATCAATACACACACATTGCAATGACTAGTTTGCATTTGGCTGCTGCGCGCACTGAATGGCCAGGGGAGGGAAATGGCTGGGGTCCTGCCATCAGCACCGGGAGCCCACAAGTAAACTGGGTTTCCTAATGGCACTGTCCACATGCTGCTGTGGCAGTTTTTGCATGGCACTAATTAGAACCATAAAAGGCATCTGGCAATTTCATACACAGTTACTGTTAGCAGGGGGAAAAGTCCACTTTACATTATAATGTTTAATTAATTGAGAAAGCCTGGATACATATAACTGAAACATCTTATACTGCAATTATTTCCATCCATTCTCACTGGAAGGAAACATAAAACATTACAGTCATCTGGGGCATAATTGAAATTAGCCAAGTGCCTCCTGTGGGTAGCAGCAATTTGCTAGATGCTGCTTTCTCCCGTTATGACAAACTGCAACTGAAAAGACAGGGGTCCCCCACTTGAGTCAGAATTCAGAATTCCCACTGAAATCTGGAGCAATACATGCCACTTGCCCATAAGCCTTGTGGAAATGTTGATATATAACCTTGATTAAGGATGGGAGAGATATTTAAAGATGGACCAACCTAATTTGCCCTTTCTGAAACAATACAACCACCAAAAGCCAGCCTTCAGAATTTGCATTTCTCTGAATTTTGCAAAGTAGTTCTCTAGTCAAGTAATGGGTACAAGGAAAAAAAACTCAGGTAAAATGTGCATAAACATACATACAAAAGTAAATTGTTTCTGGCCAAAAATGTAAATTAGGCAAAAAAATTAGGCAAGAAAGAGGAAATTTATACTAAAATGCTTATGAATTTTCAGGATAAGGTTTTTTTTAATGCAGACTCGTGGAAATGTGGAGAATTGAATTTAAGGCTGGAAAAAGGAGAAACTGTGAGAAACCTAAACTGGCCAATTTGCCTATTGGTATACAAGTATATGAAACTCTATTCTTCAGGATGTTGGCTACAAAAACCTGCTCCAGCAAAGCAATATATCAAAAGATGGTTGCCCTCTCAAACCTCCAGCCGAAAATTACATTTCTGGAAAAATGCCAACATCGGGAGATCACTGCTCTAAGCTATGCTGTCTGAGGAGCATTGTTAATGCCATAGTATTTGGGGAGAGGTATAATGACAGAGGTATGCATGCAAAAGGTCACATTTCAACCCCTGGAATCTCCAGGTAGGGCACGGAACGCCTTATCTCTGAAACCCTCAAGAGCATTTGCCTGTTGCTGCAGACCAGGAGCAGCCAACATGGCACCTTTCAAATGTTGGTCTCCAGCTCCCATCAGCCCCAGCTAGCGGGACTAATGGTCAGGGATGATGGGAGCTGTAGTCCAGCA